TTGTTTGTTTGTTTGTTTTTATAAAGATTTCACCTATTTGAGAGAGGGAATAAGGGGTGAGGAGCAGAGGGACAAGCAGACTTGCTACTGAGCAGGGAGCCCAATGTGGGGCTGGACCCCAGGACCCTGAGATCATAACCTGAGCTGAAGGCAGAGGCTCACCTGAGCCACCTAGGCGCCCCCTTAGTGTAATTTAACTTAATTTAATGCTTTCTTTGAGACAGAGAGAGAGAGAGAGACTGGGTGAAAGGAGGGGAAGGGTAGAGGGAGAGAGAGAATCTTAAGCACACTCCATGCTGAGTGCAAAGCCCGATGTGGGGCTCAGTCACATGACTGAGATCATCACCTGAGCCAAAATCAAGATTTGGATACTTAACCGACTGAGCCCCCTATGCGCCCCTCTGCTTGGCATTCTCCCTCTCCCCCTCTTCCCACTTGTCCCCTCTGTCTCTAAATAAATAAGTAAATCTTAAAAACAACAATAACAGGGGCTCCTGGGTAGCTCAGTGGGTTTAGCTTCTGCTTTCAGCTCAGTCATGATCTCAGGGTCCTGGGATCGAGCCCCGCATTGGGCCCTCTGCTCGGTGGGGAGCCTGCTTCCTCCTCTCTCTCTGCCTGCTTCTCTGCCTACTTGTGATGTCTGTCAAATAAATATATAAAATCCTTAAAAACAAAAAACAACAACAGTAAGCCACTGTGGGGCCATCCTGTAGCTCCCTTCTGCAGCCTACGGTTCTGTCTGTGGTCCTCACCCTTCTGTGTGGGTTCACTTTGGTCTCCTCTAGCCCCCAGGCTGTGTTCACATTTTCCCGTGGTCCCAGAAATCTTGTAGGGTTGATGTATTCACTGTGTGAGACGTTCCCTTAGACAGGAGGAAGTATTACGCTACCTAAAAATGTCGTGAAGCCACTCATCCAGTCTGTCCTGTGCTTGAAGTGGGCCCTCAGAATTGTTGCTTTTCCTCATCGCTCGCATGGCATGGAGCCCGCGTGACGCGTGCTAAAAGCCGTGGCCCCCTCATTCCCAGCCGGTGTGGCCCACGGGGACGCGTCATCCTCGGCTGCTGCAGCTGGCTCTGGAGCGGGTTTCCTGTGTGTCCCCGGGCGACGCGGGTGCGTGGCTCCGTCAGTTTTCAGTTGCAAGCCTCATCTGTCTCCTTCCCGCTGCGGAAGGGGAGGCCTTCGCTGACCTTCGCCTTCCCGTCCGTGCCCGGGTGCGCACATCTCCCGTCCCCCCAGTGGATCCTTTCGTCTTGGTGTGTTGGGGAGAACAGGCGTGCCCGTCTGTACGTGGCTGAGCCGTGCAGCACCCGACGACTGTGGCCCCTTTCTCTTACAGTGTTGTGTTTTCTCTGAGGTGGATGACTGAGCGGGTGCTGTTCTTGTGCGCGATCTTCCGTCACTAACGCGACTACAGGCTTCCGGCCCGAGCCCGCCTCTCTCGCAGCACACCGGCTCCGCTCAGGCCCACGGCAGCTCCGAGAGGCTCATCTCAAGAGCCCCCGACCAGCTTCGTTCTGGTCCTGGTGTTCTTCAGGTTGTCAGCATCTCCAGCAACCGGGGCCTCATTCTCTCTCTGGTTGGACCCCAGTCTTCCCCTTTCTTGGCGCGTTCCGTGTTTGGGCAGCCGCAGCCTCCAGGAGCTTTCCGAGTGAGGGAGCGTTAATCGGCTCCTGTTCTGAGAGCCTTGCTGGGTGAGAACGTCTTTTCCACTGCTGAGCAGCGGGCGGTATTTTGACTGCGTGTTAACTTCTGGGTGAGAGAGAGTCCCCCCAGGATGCTGAAGGCCCTGCTCCTGTCCCAGCTTCCCTTGTAACTGCTGAATCGGCCCTGATTCCCGACCTCCGACATGGATGTTGTGTCTTCTCTGTGGAAGCAGGAACTTCTCTTTCCCCTCCGTCTTACAAAATCTGATCACGATGTGCTTTTAGTCCCTGGGGGGGTGTTCAGCCTCTGCGGTGTCAACAGGCATGTCCTTCAGCTGCATGAAATTATCTTGGATCCCAAGAATGGTTATTTCTCTCCCTCCCATTTCTGTGTTTCCTTCTCTGCCACTCACAGTGTTTGGATATTGGATTTCTGGATTGGTCTCCTGGTGGTTTTCCTCTTGCCTTGCCCGGTTCCCATGACTTTGTCTGTATGCTCTACTCTCTGGGCACTCTAGTCCATTTATCTTCCCAAATCTGCTGAGAGATTTTCATTTTGCTGTGATATTTTAACTTTCAGGAGCTTACGAAAGTGTTCTGAATAGACTATTTTCAGTAGGAGTCTCTTGGTCTTTTATGACAATGCAGGGTCCCTTTTTATTAGGTGGTGTTGGTGGCAGCTCCCCAACTCTGAATATACCCAAACCCATGAGGTCGTACACCTTAAAAGGGTCAGTTTCATGCTATGTGAATTATACATCAGTAAGCTGGTATTAAAAATAGCTTTTAGGGGCTCCTGGGTGGCTTGGTGGGTTAAAGCCGCTGCCTTCGGCTCAGGTCATGATCCCAGAGTCCTGGAATCGAGCCCCGTATCGGGCTCTCTGCTCGGCAGGGAGCAGCAGGCATCCTCTCTCTCTGCCTGCCTCTCTGCCTGCTTGTGATCTCTATCAAATAAATAATAAAATCTTTAAAAAAATAGCTTTTAAAATATTTCTCTGAAGATATGAAAGATAATCTTTTTCACATTTTCTTCTCCTTTTCCTTTCTTTTCTCCAAGTTGCTGTTTCTGTGTTTCCTCTTAGGCCTTTCCTCAAATGTCCAGTGGTCCCGGAAGGGAACCTAAAGAGTGGGTGCTCCCTGCATCTGGTTGGTGACACTGAGCCTCGGCGTATGGTGAAGAGGTCGGGCATTTATGTGGGGAGCCCTCTGGTACCTCTGGTACTACTGTACCTCTGGTACAGTGTCTCCAGGTCTGTCCTTAGGGGCTTGTCTGGTGCCCCAGAGAAGACCCGTCAGTCTCTTGCCGGGAGGGTTGGCATCTCTGTCCGGCCGCTAGTGTTCTGGGAGCCCTGGAGCAGGGGCGGGTCTTCCAACCCTACCTCTGTGGGCTCTAGTGCAGGCTTTTCCTCGTCTGGAGACTGTACCACTCACTCTCTCTGAGGAATCAACCCCTAGGCTTCTGAGTGGAGGGAGGGTCTGTGGATGTCTTATGTTTGTTTGTTTAATGGAAAATTTTGAACATAAGAAAGTTGAGGTAAGATTAGAATGATCTCTCACATTTCAGTTCCAGCACGTAGAACTCCAGGCCAATTTTATCTCATCTACCCCCCACCACTTCTTCCTCCAAATTATTGTTAGTGTTTTTTCAAGATTTGATTTATATATTTGTCAGGGAGAGAGAGAGACAGACAGACAGGCAGACAGACAACACAAGCAGAGGGAGCAGCAGGCAGAGGGAGAACCAGGCTCCCGCCGAGCAGGGAGCCCAATGCAGGGCTTGAACCCCGGACCCTGGGATCGTGATCAGACCCCAGGATCGTGACCTGAGCCGAAGGCAGACGCCTAACTGACTGAGCCATCTAGGCACCCTTAACGTCTTTTTTTAAAACAAATTAATTAATTTTTATTTTTTCGCTCTAATTTCTGTCTCACGACCTTCATTTTTGCTGGCCCTTCTCGTGACAGCCCATCCCAGGCACCTGTTCCTCACCCTGCAGGCCTGTGCTCCAGCGCCTGTCCTCACAGGCCGTGTCTTCTCTCTGCCACCGTCTGTGTCCGCTGACCCCTTCCGTGTCATTTCCTTTGGGTGTGGAGTCAGACCCAGCCCAGCTTCCTGACTGGGCCTAATCAGACAAGAACAGGGTGATAGTTTCCCTCCTTTTGAATGTTGTTCTTTGAGTAGTGTAGCCTTTGGTCCTGTCACGTTTTTGGATAATCCTGTCAGATTGAGGAAGTGCCAGGGGAATGCTGCGTCCTTCCCTCACACGTTTCCCGAAGCTCTGTCCGGCCACCTGCACGTCTAGCCCCGGCTCGTGGACCTGAGCGTAGGGGTTTGCCGTGTCCCTAATGAGCACTGTGTTTGGAGGTTTGTGGTGGAAATCAGGGTGCTCGTGCCAGTCCTGAAGCCTTAGTGGGACATCTCCGTGCTCCACTAAACGAGGGAAATCAGGAAAGGGCAGGCGTTCTGGGGGAGAGGGAGGATTACTTCGAGAAGAGGGTGGGAGACTGCCCAAGTGCTCCCTGGTGCGGGGTGTTTGTGAGCGAGCGGGTCAGCAGGAAGACACAAACTGCTGCTGCAGGTGGGACTGGGATCTGGGGGACACGGCAGCCGCCAGGTGAGGAGAGTCTTGTAGAACATGAGGGGGGCCGTGAGGGGGCCGGCCTGGGGCGCAGGGGAGGCGGCCGGTGCGCGTTCGAGAGCATTCTGATGTGCTTCCCACATATTGGCTGCTGTTCCAATGCCACTTGGTCCAGACGGCGGCTGTGAGTTTGGAGCCCTGCGCTCCATCTTTCCTATCAAGGCGCTCGGGCTTCTGGAGGTAGAGGGATGTGTGGATGGTCACACAACTGCTTAGTGACAGACCGGGGTTCAGACCGAATCCCACTCTGTACCCGGTTCTCTGGGTGGCCCCATGCTGGAGGGAGCGAGCTCGACTGCGGCTGGACGGCAGACACGGTTGGGATGGAGGCAAATATCCTGTTAGGTCCCGTGTCTGAGGAGTGTTTGGAAGGAAAAGCCCCGCTCACCCCGAGCTGCTCCCCCCAGCCAGGTCCCTGGTGCCAGCGCTCTGTCCGCTCTTTCACCCCCTGGAAGACGCCGCGCTGCTGGCTTTCCCAAGTTATTTGGGGGAAGGATACTGACCTCCTGCGAGGGAGGTGAGATGACAAAACCGTGTGTGTGGAGCAGCGGTTGTGTGCTTGTGCTTGGCCTCTGCGGAGCGCAGCGAGTCACTGTCGTGAATCTGTTCTCCGGAGGCTGGGAACGGCCCCCGTGCCTGGCTCCCGCCGGGCGCTGGCGGCCGCGAGGTGTCGGTTTGGGAGCAGCCGCGATCACGGCGCATCTCTTACTTTGCAGGCCTTTGCCCAGTTCGACGCGGAGGGTGATGGCACCGTGGATGCGGAGAGCATGCTGGAGGCCCTCAAGCATTCCAGCGGCGCTAACCTCCAGGGCGAGCTGAGCCACACCATCCGGCAGCTGCAGGCCTGCTCCCTCGTCCCAGGTAAGGCCGGAGCGCGCTCTCGCGGCCCTGCGAGCTCTGCCGTCCTCCGGCTGTAACTGTGCAGGGCGAGGGCCCTGTGTGGCGCATGAACCCACTCACTCCTGCGTCGTTGTCTCCTTCGTCCCCAGTGCCTTGACGCTTGGGCAGCTCTGCCGTTTTCATGAACTTCTGTCGTGAGAGGCTCTCTCTGTTTCACTTCCTCAAGAGGCTGTCCCTGGCCCCGGTTCTCTGTGCGTCCTGCATTTGTCTTTGCCTCATGCCATCACTGTAATTAATGACCCACTTATCTGTAAATGTTCATCTTTCCTCCTGTACTGTGTGCTCCATGAGGACGGCGACCTTTTCTTTCTGCCGTGTCCTCGCGTGTAACACGTCTTTGGTATATGGTAGGCACCCCGTGGGTTTTTTTGTTTGTTTGTTTCGTTTTATTAGTCAGCTGTCAGTCTGAAATTTAAGTGATAATACAAGTAGTGTACAAATTAAGCAATACTTCTACATTATATCTATGAAAAACTTGTGTTTTTATCTGGTTTCTTCTGGGGACTCAGAAGACAAAATCCAAGTTAAATCATCCTCCTTTCTTGCCAGTGAGAAAACAATTTGAGTTTTTGGAAGAACAGAACTTTGCATGTCCTCCTTTCAGCCTCAGCTTATCCCAGTACTTCTGTCTCTGCCTTCAGTGTCCTGCTGCTCAGCACGGAGCCCGGCACAGCAGCAGCGGGGCAGGTGGGCATGGGAGATGCGTGACTGAGTCCGCTGGCCCTTGACCTCTCTGGCTTCACACGGGCGCTGTGCTGCGCTGGGGAAGGGTGATGGCTGTGAATTAGTAGGGTATGCAGACTGCCCTTCCTCCTCAACTTGTCTGGAATTACGTCATCGTTACAGAGCGTCGTAGCGAGTCCACACGTGCAAACTCCTCCTCTCATGGCAGTAGAAATGATGTTTTGTATCATGTTCAGTTAAATTGTATCTTGGCATTTATGTATGACTCCCACTTCCGCATTACCAGCCCGTGGGAAGCATCGGGAGCTCTGTGTGGACACCTCAAAGAGATGTGTGGGAGGGGAGGGGAAGGCTGGAGACCAGGGAGCCCACCCAAGAGGAAACTCCCTGCACTGTGGCTCCTGGCGACTGGGGAGAGAAATGTGGGGTTTGGATCCCGAGGTGCCTGTGTACCAGAGTTGTGACTGGAACGTTCTAGCCAAAATTTTCTGTCCCCACATAGTTTAAAGACATTGTTTTATCATGGTCCTAGCAGGAACCTTGGTAAGCTGGGCTAGCCTGTCCCCAGGATTGGTTTCCTTGTCCCTCTTTCTGAGATTGGGACTTGTCCCTTTATCACCCCATTGTGCTGGTGTTCAGTGCTTACTGGACTTGTGTGACCTCCCACGGGCAGAGTCTGTATTCTCACGGGCGTCCCGAGCACACGGGGCGCCGTCAGTCGTGCCTTCACGCGACAGCGATGCTGCTGTGGGGCCTGCCAGTGGGAGGAAAGCTGAGTGAGGAGGCTGAGGGGTGCCACGGCTTCTGAGTCACGGGGACATGGACCCGGTGTCTCCAGGCTGTGCTGGGGGTGCTTCCGGTACACGGCTTCTCCTCAGCCTCCTGTTCTGTCTTGAAAATCAATGTGAAGTCTCCTTCTCAAATACAACCTGTTTGTTTCACGTGTAATTCCTCCGGGTGCTGCTTTGATGGGTGTTGGATCTGTGGAAGTTCATCCCAGTGCACTTACGCCACAGGTGCTTTGCGTTGTGTCCGTTATGACTCGTTAGAAAGTAAACAGAAAAGACTTCCCCCAAGTCTACAAGTGTGTCTGAGCTCCAGGAAAAGCCGCTGTGCTGCTCCTCTCCCCTTTCAGGCTGTCTTACGGGCACCTTGTTTGCAGGAACATGTGTTGTAGGTTATGATGGACCACGAGGGCAGTTTAAACAGAGAGACATGGTGTGTTTGGTGTTTTTGTAGGGTTAGGTGGGTTAATGCCAGACCAAGGGCAGCCAGGAGATCCCGTCAGGAACTCTGCATGGGTCAGCACGGGCAGGAGGTGGTGAGCCCAGGGTCTGGGCAGTGGCCGAGGGCCAGACAGAGCAGGCAGACCCCAGGGAGCTGCCGTGGAGAGGACGTGGGGGCACGGGAGGGGCACCGGGGACAGAGCCTCGTGCCTTGTGAGATGCCCCCCGGGAAGTACGGTCAGGGTGGTGGCTGTGTCATTATCGTGTCTCCTGTAGCTTAGTGTAAAAGCAGTGACACTTTGACTTCCTGACCTGATAAACTTGATTCCTAGTTCACACACTGTGTGCAAAATTATGTAAAGACGTATAGTTGGTGTCTCAGTGCTTACACATTTAAAGCTTGGATTGTAGCAAATGTAGTGTAAGTCTTCTAAAATTCCACTAAACTAAACTAAAATTTTTTTTCAAGATTTTATTTTGAGGTGCGCCTGGGGGGCTCAGTGCGTTAAACCCGCTGCCTTCGGCTCAGGTCATGGTCTCAGGGTCCTGGGATCAGGCCCTGCATCGGGCTCTCTGCTCAGCGGGGAGCCTGCTTCATCTTCTCTCTCTGCCTGTCTCTCTGCCTACTTGTGATCTTTGTCAAATAAATAAATAAAATCTTTAAAAAAAAAAAGATTTTATTTTGAAATAATCTCAACAACCCAATGTGGGGCTTCAACTCACAGTCCTTGGATCAAGGGGCTCATGGTCCACCATGAGCCAGCCAGGTGCCCCAAAATGAATGCTTAAATTGAGGTTACCACTGGTTCATTTCTTTTCTTGTTTTTTTTTGTTTTTTTTTTTTCCTTAAGTAGGCTCCATGCCCAGCATGGAGCCCAATGAGGGCCTTGAACTCATGACCCCAAGGTCAAGACTGAGATCCTTAGGAGTCAGCCACTTAAGTCACTGAGCCACCCAGACAGCCGCAGGTTCATTTCTTAAAACTTGTTTAGATTTTTAAATGATTAAAGCTGAAAATATCAGCAAAGATTCTTAACGGCTGCTTTTAATTCAGCCAATTCAGAGAGGCCACCAGTACAGGAGCGTGGGAACACTGCTATGGCGGGTTCCCTAAACACCAGACATGGATTTTGTCTTCCCAGGTTTCATCGACATCTTCTCAGAGTCCAAGGAGGGGCTGGGTGTGCACGCATCCCTGATTCTGCGCTTCCTGCACCGCAACCGGCTCTCCGGCACGGCCGTGCCCTGCCCCATGCTGGACCACTGCGCCAACGTGTGTGCCATGAGGGCCTCTGTTCTCAAGGAGTCCTTGGACCAGCTGCTCCAGAGGGAGAAGGGTGTGTGCATGTGTGCTCTGGGGGCTCCTGAACATGGTCTGTGAGTTGTAGGAGCCAGCACTCTCCCTGCCTTTGGCTCTGGAAACTAGCCTGCCTGCCTGTCCTCCTTCCCTTCCTCCTTCCCTCCCTCCCTTCCTCCTCCCCTCCTTCCTTCCCTCCCTTCCTTCCCACTTTCCTTCCTTCCCTCCTTCCTTCTCTTCTTCCAATTCCCTTCGTCCCTCCCTCCCTCCTTTCTTCCTTCCCTTCCTCCTTCCTTCCCTTCTTCCTTCTCTCCTTCCAGTTCCCTTCCTCCTTCCTTCCTTCCTTCCTTCCTTCCCTTCCTCCTTCCTTCCCTCCCTCCCTCCCTCCCTTCCCGCCTTCCCTTCCTTTCTTCCTTCCCTCTCTCCTTCCAGTTCCTTCCTTCCTTCCTTCCGTCCTTTCCTTCCTCCTTCCCTCCTTCCTTCCTTCCCACAATTGGCTTCATTCAGGTCTCTGCTCAGATGTGACTTAGGGAGGACTTCCCGCATTACCCTATCTAGTTAATGCCCCCATTCCCCACTTCTGGTCACCATCACCTTTGTAGGTTTAATGGTCTAAATGGCACTACTTGAAGTTGTCAAATTATGATTTCTCTGTGTGTCTACTTTGTTCGTGTCATTATCCTTAGCACTTGGAGCTGGGCCACCTAGTAGGTACTCTGTGAGTCGTTGAGTCACTGAGGAAAACCACTACACGCAGTGTGGACTCACTCAGAAGTTGGGAGTGCCAATAGACTGGTCCGTGGAACGTAGTAGAGTCTGGAAACAGACCCACATGGGTGTGGGAGTAGAGTACCAGAGAGAGTTGGCGTTACAAATGGTGGAAAGGCGAATTAGTCAACAAGTGGGGTCAGGGCAACTGGCCAGCCATTTGGAGAGAAAAATAAAGCCAGACTCTTATTACCCCATTCCATTCATGGAAACAAATTTCAGGTGGATTGAAAGGTCCCACTGCAAAGAGACTTGAAGTGTGGAAGAGAGTAGCCACACCCTGCCCAGCTCCTGGCACAGGGACCTCGCCAAGCAGGATGTGAGACTCAGAAACCATCGGAGATGAAGAAGTTAGATTTTACAAAAGTTCTGTAGAACAGAAACTCAAAGCAGAGTCAAAAGTCTAATGCTATTCTAGGGAACAAAAATGTGTTTTCTAATGTGTGATGACTTTTTTTTTTTTTTTTTACTAACTCTGAGCTTGGGCACTTAATAACTTTCTGTGCCTTGGTTTCCTCATCTCTGGACTGAATTAGTACAGAGAAGATGTCTAGAGAAGTGCCCGGCTCACAGTACGCAGCACCTGTCACGTGTGTGTGTGTGTGTGTGTGTGTGTGTGTGTGCACGCGTGTGTGCGCGTCCTATAACCTACAAACCGGCGAGACAGCTTGCGGCCCGGCAGAAAGTAGATGAAGGTAGGACTGGGCCGCTCTCCAGAACGCAAGTGGCTTACTAAGTCTCCCACATATTTAAAGAAATGCCCATTCAAACTGTAAGACACATTTTCTTCTCTTAGTGTGGCTTGCAAATATATCAGTGATTTAAGTATTTTACCATAGTGAGCTCACAGAGCAACCCTCAGACACTTCTGCCTTATAAAGTTTCTTTGGAAGGAGATTTTAAGGATTATTTATTTTTCCAGGGCCAAACTATCAAGGGTATTTATGTTAGATATTTTAAATGACCTTTTTTTCCCCCTTCGTGAAAGAGATGTCACGTGATAGCATCTGGTTTCCCTGCAGAGAGTCCTGGAGATCTAACCGGAAGCCCGGAGATGGATAAACTCAAGTCAGTAGCAAAGTGTTACGCTTACATAGAAACCTCGTCGAACCCTGCTGACATCGACAAGATGACCAATGGAGAAACGTCGTCGTACTGGCAGTCGGATGGCAGTGCCCGCTCGCACTGGATCCGGTGGGTGCGAGCACAGGGTGGTTCAGAGTGTGAGCGGCTCCTGCTTGCTCTCTCTTACCCCATCAGCATGCTCACTGGTCACTTTGTGAATTGTTAGAGTATTTTCTACTTAACTGCCTGGTTGTTTTCGTATTGTAAATGATTGTCTGTGGAGATGCTTTAAGAATCAAGTAAAAAGGGGGCGCCTGGGCGGCTCAGTGGGTTTAGCCGCTGCCTTCAGCTCGGGTGGTGATCTCAGGGTCCTGGGATTGAGCCGCGCATCGGGCTCTCTGCTCAGCGGGGAGACTGCTTCCTCCTCTCTCTCTCTCTCTGCCTGCCTCTCTGCCTACCTGTGATCTCTGTAAATAAAATCTTAAAAAAAAAAAAAAAGAAGCAAAAGGAATTGCATAAAATCATGCTACCTGGTTCGTGTATTCATAAACATGGATAATTCCTTTACTTGGCATTTTAAGGGAGAAATAGTATTTGACTGATATCTGATCATACTGATCTCAGATTTTTTTCACTAATTTCCCAGGAAGATTAATTACCACAGCAGGCAAGTACTTTTCTTGTGTCAGATGTGATTTTACTTTTATCTTTTTAAGATTTTATTCATTTATTTGACAGAGGGAGAGAGATCACAAGCAGGCAGAGAGGCAGGCAGAGAGAGGAAGGGAAGCAGACTCCCTGCTGAGCAGAGAGCCCGATGTGGGGCTCGATCCCAGGACCCTGAGATCATGACCTGAGCCGAAAGCAGAGGCTTTAACCCACTGAGCCACCCAGGTGCCCCAGATGTGATTTTACTTCTTAAGCTCCTTTCCTTGCATGAAGAAAATTAGTCTGCTACTGCCTTGACCAGTTTGGCAGAGGAGGAGGGAAGGGGATGAGCAGGAACCCTGGGGTGGAGCTGGGGGCAGTGACCTGGTGTTTCTGGAAATTCTGAAGCTGCCTTCTACCGTTTCACTGGCCTCTTCAGAGGATGTGCTAATTTCAGTTGGTGGAGATAGAAGTAATTGTCTCGTTCTCTCATGGAGAGTACCTGTGACCTTTTGCCATCTAACTTATAGAAACTCAGTATATTGAGTTCTTTGGATGAGGTTTAGGATTTGCTTCTTGGAGGTACAGTGATTTTTTTTAGGGTGTTCCTAGTATACTTTCCTGCCTACTGATAGCTTAAAAGGAAATGTAAGATTAACCTTGAACTGGAAGAAATCTGAGAGACCGAAAGGTCGGAAGGACTTTTCTAGTTGGCCGTTTTTAGGAGAGGTGGTCTTTGACAATATCAAATACAAGACCGTGGCGATGGGACTCGTGGATGCTGGCAGTTTCGATTCATATAAACACTTGTCGTTTGTGCTCCCTGCGTTTTCCAGCTTAAAAATGAAGCCGGACGTTGTGCTTCGACACTTGTCCATCGCAGTGGCCGCCACTGACCAGAGCTACATGCCGCAGCAGGTGACAGTAGCCGTGGGGAGGAGTGCCAGCGATCTGCAGGATGTCCGCGACGTGCACATTCCCAGCAATGTCACGGGCTACGTGACGCTGCTGGAGAACGCCAACATCAGTCAGCTCTGTGAGTCTACCACGAGGCAGCCTGCCTGCTGATCAGGGGGCTGGGGGGCGAGGAAGGGGCCCTTGTCAACGGGAAGGCCTCTGCAGTGGGGTGACTGTCAGGTTTCGTTTGTAGCTTGGATTTGCTTCTCGTCGTGCACATGGAGTAGCCATTATGTCATCTCTGCGCTGTTGTAGAAAGTTACGGAAACCCTTCTAAATTAAAAATACTCGATTCTTGTTTCCTTACTGGAAAATTAGAAAAATATAAACAGAAAGTACTCAAATTCCCACTACCCAGGGATTGTCACTGTGAATGTTAGTATGGTCCTTCCAGATCTTTACTTGTTAGTGTGTGTGTGGGTACACGTGCGTGCACACGCACACATCTTCAAATGTAGGGGTGTGCATACGTATTCACAAAATGTAATTTATTTGTATACGTATTTACAAAATGGTGAAATTCTTTCCATGCCGTTTTGTAAATTTTTTAGCACGTTGTCACACCGTGTGTTCTTGCACACCTTTGTTTAGTGATGGAAGAACTTGCCTTAACTTTAACCAGCCCTTTATTCCTGGACATTTAGCTTGTTTCCATTTTTGTACTATTATAACCTTACTTCACACCTGGCATTTCGGAAATAATCACAATTCTGTGATTTCTTTCCAGGCTTTTTTCATTCAGGGAGCCGGGATGCTTCATGTTTTGTCTCATTTCTCCTAATGCTTTCTGGGCCAAAGGAAGTGTTCTTACTTTGCTCAGAGGAACTGAGGCCTGGGGAGGTAGAGTCTTTGTGTCTTGTCCCCAGGCGAAACAGTGGTTCAGCTTCTGGAGTAGATGCTTTCTCTCTCACACTGTGACGCTCCTTTCTCTCAGTTGTGTCCTTTTTAGCTTATCACCTTCTCTCCAACCCAAATAAGACATTGTGACAGCTCTCACAAGTGAGTCATGCCTGTGTTGTCATCTGTTTGGACTTGATTATTTAAAAGTAAATTCTCACAACAGCTGTGAGATAGTGACTCTTTAAATCGAAATTTCAGAACCCTAGCACAAATTCTAGAAATTTTCTTACCATGTATTGAATCAGGATTTAAAAAATGATCTTTGTGTTTAATTCTCAGGATGCATAAATTCCTATGAAACTTTGTGGTGGACAGGGTTAAGTCACCCCTAAGTTTACTTTCATTTTGTCGATGCTTTTCTGACAAGTTTATTGTATGCTAGCTGCATTGTACACATTATTTATTTCCAGCATCAGAGTATATCTCAAAATTTTCTTTTCAAAATGTGAATTACTATCTTGCTTTTAGTTGGGAGCCTAGCATTTGCGGAACTGAAGACGTTAATCCAATACTGAATTTGTTGTTTGCGCTTGACAGATGTCCAGATTAACATAAAACGTTGTCTTAGCGATGGATGTGACACTAGAATTCATGGTCTGAGGGCTGTTGGCTTTCAGAGAGTTAAGAAGTCTGGGGTCTCGGTGTCAGATGCTTCTGCAATCTGGTACTGGTCTCTGCTGACCTCTCTGGTGACGGCGTCCATGGAGACAAACCCTGCCTTTGTCCAGACGGTGCTGCACAACACGCAGTAAGTCACCCTCTCTGCTTTCCCGCCAGTCCAGGTGCCCTCACTGTTCCCTCCCCCTGCTGAGCCCCGGGTGCCCTGGTGTTTCCTGTCTGTGCTTTTGCCTCTAGTCTGGGGAGGGGGTCATGCGTGTTGTTCTGTCCTCACCTCCCCCCCCCCCCCGGCGGGGGAACAGTTGCTTACATTCAGGGAGCACTTTGGAGCAGGTACAGCCCCTTCGGATGCTGGACATTACTTACCTCCTCCTGTTGTGAAGCACACACATAAGACTTAGGCCCGTGTCGCAGACGAGGGCTGTGACACTCCTGGCGGCACACCGCTGGGCTGGACAGGGATGTGCAAGTGTGAACCCCAGCCTTGGAACTCCAAGAACTCAAGGAAACCTTCTCTAAGATACTCAGCAAATTCATTTGTAAATGTAGATCACCTTCAAAAATAAAAATTAAAAAAGCAAAAGTAAATTAAAAATTAAAAATAACATTAAAAAATTAAAATTTAATTAAAATTTAACTTAAAAAAATTAAAAATTTAAAAATAAGAAGCCTGACAGGGCAGAAAGACCCAGTTGGAACAGACAAGGCGGGAAGCGGTGACATACAGCTTTCGAAGCGAGGAAGTTCCCGTATCGTGTTGAAGTTCGGTCACCAAGAGAGTGATTACCATAGCGGTCCTCTGGATGTCTTCGAGAGTGAGGCTTTCAGCCAGGAACTCTGTGGGCAGTGCCACGCGGGAAGTCATGTTTGTCCATACTCTGTCTTGCTTCCTGCTTAAAAACTTTTTTCAAAAATCAATGAGAAACTTAGAGAAATACCACAAGTACGACGCAAACAACTCTCATTTCCTTCGGAGCCCGTTGATGGTATTCTGCACACCTGGTGCCCTGTTGTCCCCGACACTCGAGGCATGTTTCCTGTCCGCAAGAAGGTTCGCTGGAGCCAGTTCTCAGTGATGCACAGTGCCGCCTTCGGCTCCTTGGGTCCCGTTTGGGTCCTGTAGGCTGTCCCTGTACCATCCCATGTAGCCGAAGGACCCAGGCCGCGCTTGGCGTTTGCCCCGTCTGCTTCGTCTCCTTCAGTGTAGACCGGTTCCTCTGTCTTTCTCGACCGTTAGGACTTTGACAGTTTAACGTCTGAAGTTACAGGGTTAGTTATCTCCAGTAATATCGTTTAGTTTGTCATGTCAGGCATCATGTTGCCTGATGATTCGGTGTGGGTTTGTGTCTTTGGCAGGAGCGTCACGGAAGCGATGGTCTGTCCTCCTGCACCCGTTGGGGTCGCGGAATGTTAGCGTGTCCTCTTACTAGTGCTGCTCATGTCAGCTTTGATCCCTTGAAGCAAGGGGAGTCTGCCAGAGTTTCCACCGTAGCGGGGTTTTTTGTCATGGCGAGTAGTAGGCGTCTTGTGAGGAGGTGCTTCGAGACTGTAAGCGTCCCCTCCGTCCTCAGACTTTGTATCGGTGTGGACTCATGACGCCACGTTAGTCACGGGCTTGTGACGGTCACAGTGGTGACGTGTAGTTGGCTCGGATTTGGCCAGTGGGAACCCCTTTGGTCTGGCTCTGTGTCCTTTTGATGTGTCCTTGGCAGCATGGTACACTTCCTCACTTTCTTCGAGAACAACAAGATACTGCGGGCCCGCCTCGAAGGCTCCCTGCCCCAGTCCTGGATCCCCTGCTGTCTCGGGGAGCCGCCGGCCCGCTGGGCGGGGGATGGGAGTTCGACACGAAACGCAAGGGGCCCCTGGCTCCTCTCAGGCCCCCTGAGCAGACGCCGTGGGAAAGGGCACCTTTGTATATAAGTAGTGTGCATGTGTGTGTGTACGTGACACACATTCACACCCGTGGTCATTTCTGTATCTGTGGTGCTGGGACCTCTAGGCTTTGGCCTGACCCTCCCACCTGTAATCCTGCATGACAGCATTGGAGAGTGTTGGTGGACAGTGGCAGTGCGCGTTCTCGGTTTCCTCTCTCTGCATTTGAGCCTCCCTTCTCGGATAATGACAAAACTGCCGCCCATCCTCCCTACTTATCCGTGTAACCCGCCTCCATCTCCCCTGCCCTTGCCTGGACACCCTCCTCCCTGACTCCCGCAGTCGCTGTGGCCATCCTTGGGCACATGCCCCTGCTTGTTGGGTCCCCTCGCCCAGCGCCAGGTGCCTTCCTCAGTGCTCACCTTCCCTGCCAGGCCATCCCTTTGTGCACATACCTTTCTCATGCCCCTCGGTGACCTCCCCTCAGACACACACGAGTGCCTGCCTTGTACAGCCCTCCTTTATGGACTGAATTCTCAGGAAGGGATGGAAGAAGAGCTTTCTACCTTAATTTTATAAAGATAGGCCAAGTTTGTTGAGCAATGGATATGTTTAAAGTTTATATTTCTAAACAGTTGTAATTATTAATCTGCAGTTACGTTTTCACTCCTAATGTTTAAATATCAGGGATCTAAAACTACTGTAAGTTTTTTTGAAGAAAATCAATGAGGAAAAATAAAAAGAATTATTATGAAGCAAAAGTGTTGTACCAGTAGAAATAAGTCTGGTAAATCGCTGTGTGCTCATGTGCGTTGGGCCTCCCGGAGCAGCTGCCTTTCTGTATGGCTACGCGGGTCCTGGCAGAGCAGGGAGGAGCGTGAGAGGGAGGGACGCTGACACTGTGTCGGCCTTGCCGCGCCGTCTCTGTCGGGGTGGGAGGAGTACCGCTGAGGGTGCTCGTGACTGGTACCTCGAGCGAACTGCCGGCTGTAGCGTCTTGACTTCCTTTTGCATGCCTTCATGTTGTTCGTGGTGCGCTCACTCAGGAGAACTTTTGGGGGATTCAGAGAGATCAGCGTAAGAGCAGGCGAGAGAAGAGAAGCCCCGAAGCAGACATTAAGGGAGGCAGGAAACGCAGGGAGGAGCAGAAGCCCTGACGAGTGCTCCTGGTCAGGAGGGAAGAGAATCGGTGGCCTGTCTTGAGGTACCACTGATCTTAAGAGGGGACACACGACCCGCGTTTCTTCTGGGCCAAACACTGATCTGCCTCCAGGGTCACATTTTGTAGGAATTCTGGGGCTTCTTTCCATCAGGGATGCATGTCTTCTGCCCACCCTACATGAAATGAAGACGAGATCCCGAAGGCTGGACTAAGTCTCTGTGGAGGGAAATGGACTCTTAAAAGAGAGAATAAATAAAAAAGAAGGAAACTCCACGGACTGACTTGGGACTGTGACTCCTGGGGGAGGGGCTGGTTTGACGTTGTGTCCCAGGCTCTCTGCGGGGACACTGTGTTCATGAGGCACTGATCCCAGCAGGCGTCAACGGTTTGGTGTTCATCGAGCAGTTTTAAGTCCGGGTTTTGCCTAGCCGGTTCTGACTTTCCGTCTCACACTTGCAGGAAGGCACTGCAGCACATGCCTCCGCTTTCCCTCTCACCAGGATCTACAGATTTCTCGACTTTCCTGTCTCCCAACGTTCTAGAAGAAGTGGACAGCTTCCTCATAAGGATAACTAGGTAAAGTCAAGGTTGATGAGATGGGGCTTGTAGAGGGTAGAGGTCTATATGCTTGTTAAGTCTTTAAAAACATTTTTTAAAATCTTCTACAGATTAGCACTAAACATGGCTCATGTTTAGTGACTGAAGAAAAGGTGAAACCATGGTTCAGCCCTTTGAGCTCCATTGTGTAGTCACACCACCTGACCTCAGGGGTGGGGGGGGGGCCCTCTGATGCAGCCGGAACGGGTGTCTCAGAGACCCCAGTGCAGAAGCTGTCGGCTTCTGGGAGCTCCAGCCCGTGGCCTCACCAGGCGCCCATGTGCCTCTCTGCACAGGGACAAGTCTGTGGGCCTGGGTGAGGCTCCTTAGTCTGGCTTGCTAGATATGCTGCTTGCTGTGGGGATGGCTCTGTTCTGTGTCCATCGTGCCCTGTGTCGGGGCACAGGCCCAGTCCCGACACCCCAGGACAGTGTCAGGAGTTTCAGTGCGATGTGTTTAATGAGCGGGAGAAGAGTAGAGTCTGGCTCAGGTTGCTCGTGCCTGGGGGAGTGAGCCCTCGAGCCCCTGGCCCCTGGCATTGTTAGCAGCAGGGCCTTACTGTAGCAGCTCCTGCACTTGTGGTGTCTGTATTTGCTTTATAAAACTGGACTGGTTGAAACTGATGCTGCTAGCGTTGTTTACTAGTTATAGGTTAATAACGGCACAGAGGGGAGGATTTAATGTCCTCGTCCTCTGGGTTGATTTCGTTTTCCTGTAGGTTACTTTGAGGATTTTGAGTATTTGTGACCGTGGTAGAGAAAGCATCAGATAGGTGGATCTCACTGATGGTGGTCAGTTACGTGGGCGTGGGGCTGCCTGGATTTCCTTGAGTCATTAAGAAGTGAGATGTTCTTCCTCTTTGTTTCCAGCTGCTGCTCGACTCCCGAGGTGGAGCTAACCCTTCTGGCCTTTGCACTGGCAAGAGGAAGTGTTGCCAAAGTGCTGAGCTCTTTGTGCGCCATCAGTGAGCATCTGGACACGCAGTACGATGCCTCGTCCCTCATCGCCTCCATGGCGTCCGTCAGGCAGAGCCTGCTGCTTAAATACGGTAAATGAGTGGGGCGCGACAGATGGGCCCTGACACCGTCGCTAACCTGGCATCTCCTTACTTCCTCGGGCGGTTCCCACCGACCCCGTGATTCTGGGCCGAACGTATCCTCTCCTCCGGGGGCCAGCAGGGAGAAGGGGGCTGTGGGCTCCTCTCAGAAGAGGGCCTGAGTGTCCCCTAGGCTGTACTTCCAGGATTTGCTGGCCAGACCACTTGGGCTCTGTGGTCAGCCGGTCACCAGCCATCCTCAATGAGGTGCAGATGTGTCTCTCTGCACAGATAGGAGGCTGGGAAGTTGGGAGTCCCTCCCTTCTGGGGGGGCGGGACCTGACCCAGACCACGGCACTAAGCATCCTGGTCTGAGACTGCTCCCTGTGTGGGCTGCGTGCCCGACCGTGCCCGACCCCGCTTTCCCGCCTGGGCCCGGCCACCGTCCCCTTTAGCACTTTCCCGCTGACTCAGGATGGGTCCCACAACCCTCGTCAGCTGGTATGTGAGGAACAACTCTCGTGCCATCCCGGCCTCTGGCACCGACGTGTCTGCCCAGAGTACAGTATTGGGTCTCATCTCCTTCTGCCCCCTCCTTCTAGGGGCAGACTGTGCTGTTTCTGCCATGGTATTGGTACCTTTGCCTAACACAACTTAATGATTCATTTTATGTTTAGTATTTAAGGTCAGGTAATTAACGTCTTGTAAATCCAGTTTGCCCCCTAAATTTGAAAAGGTCACTTTTTGGTGGGGTCGGAGCCCATAACAGGCACGGCTGGATGGGAGGGATCCGTACGTAGTGTTTGGAAGGTACCGTCCAGGGAAGTTACCAGTTCTGATGAGCAGCTGTTTGGGCAGGAATACCAGAGAGGGGAGGGATGCGGGATGGAGTGTTTGCACAGGTAGTGTTGTGGGTTGGGTTATAGGTTATAGGTTAATGGGTATTCGTTATAGTATTAGTAACACAAAGGAAGAAGGAAAAGCTTTCAAGTCGTTGTAGCAAATGGTGCTTTCTAAAAATCTTGGAACTTTCAAAATTTGGCCGCAGTTATATTAAAGAAACAAGACCTAAGACCCTAAGATACTATATATATTTGAATGCAGTTGTTTAAAAAAAAAAAAGTAAAAAAAAGCGCAGCTGTAATAAAATTAGCTGTTGGCTCCAGAACCCGGTTTCGGGGCTCCTTCTCCCAGACATGTTGAATGTGTAGCATCAGTCTCTGTCTTACAGTGCATTTTGTTTCTGAGGAGTGTTTACTCTAGAGTCCTCCGCTTGGACTCACGTAGGGACATAAAACTGTGCTTGGTCTCATCAGGAGAGCAGAGAAGGATGGTGTCCACTTCTCTGTTTCAGCTGGAGCAGGTGCGTTCCAGCAGGTGTGTTTCCCTTCGGCCGCATTGCCCACCTGCTCTCCAGTCCTACGGACGTGCCTGCTAGTTTTATTTTTCATGCTACACCAGCTTAATGTTAAGGCTCTTGTTTTCTCTTCACTTTGACCAGGTAAACCTCTTCAGCTGATCCTTCAGGCCTGTGATGTCAAAGGGAAAGAAGAGAAGTCAGGACCGGAAAACCTCCTGGTGGAGCCGTGGACCAGAGACGGTGAGTGGTTGGTCCGTGTGCGTGCGGGAACGGGTAGGCTGCGGCACGCAGGGCCATGGGCTGCACAGCAGGTCGGCCCGCACGGCCGTGGCTCTTGAATCATCTGTCTGCTCTCCTTATCGCAGCCTTGTTCTCCGCTGGGTGTGGGTCACCCCTAACGAACGACTGCTGAGTGCTGGAGAGCTCTCGGTTCTGGAAAGCAAGGACTCTTCCTTTTGGAAGATTAAAAAGTTACCGCTTTTAAATTCAGATTATCTTTCTGTGGTGTTACCCTAAAGCATTAAGAAACGCAGCAGATGGGGCGCCTGGGTGGCTCAGTGGGTTAAGCCGCTGCCTTCGGCTCAGGTCATGATCTTGGAGTCCTGGGATCGAGCCCCGCATCGGGCTCTCTGCTCAGCAGGGAGCCTGCTTCCTCCTCTCTCTCTGCCTGCCTCTCTGCCTGCTTGTGATCTCTCTGTCAAATAAATAAATAAAATCTTTAAAAAAAAAAAAAAGAAACGCAGCAGATCTGAGGCGGGATACTGCTGGAAAGGAGGGTATTTCTCAGCGGATGCCTCTGGATCGGGCGTGTCTGGAGGAATCTCCCTGCTTGTGGGCTGTCGGCATGGTAGCTGCCGATGTGCTGTCCTGTGCGGTGGTGGGCCCTTTCCCTCATCGGGGGTCTGTCTCTTCCTCCTCCGTCTCACCAGCCGGCCAGTTCATCTCCTGCACACGCCGCCTTGCGCTCGCTGCCCTGCTTAGGACATTGCCGATGCAGCCCAGGAAGGGGAGTCTTCTGGCCGTTACCGAGCACTGGCCGGGCTTGCCTGGCCTTGGATTTGCTTTCTCCTTGGCCATCCTCACAGCGGTGCAGGCCGCATGTGTTCTCGGCAGTCACTTCTTCTCTCGTGTCCCCTGCGTTCGTGCTTCTCCCCGAGGCACCTCCTCTGGCTGTGGACCTCGCCTGCTGTAGACTGTCACGCAGGTCACACTTGCTGCGGTCCTCTCCATGCAGCGCGGCCTCCGCGGAGACATTTCCTTTCCCGCGTCCCTCCCCTGTCCCACTGAGGACCGCTAAGGGCCACGCAGGCTGCGCACTGTCCGCCACGGCATGGGGCACGGGGGGAGCGCTCTTCGTGGGGAGGCTTCGTGTTCCCCAAGTGCCGGGAGGTGCCTGTTCCGGAGGCGTGTCTGCCTGCCGTGTCCTCCCTGCCGAGGGAGCCCGCACGTGGCCTTCCGGAGTGCCGGCGGTCCTGTCCGCTGCTCGCCGGGATTGCCAGTGCTGCCCGGAGACCGACGGTGTGCGTTTGTCCAGTTCTGCAGCTCCGCGACTGGTTATTCTCTTTGCTGTCATTTTGAGAGAGTGAACTGGGGGGAATGGTACCCACGCAGACGGAGCGTGAGGGCATCCCAGGAGCAGCTGCGTGTATTTTACCAAGGACGGGAAGAGCCAGTTCTGTGTTTACCTTTCAGGCTTTGTGGGTTTATTTTGGCCTTTAGAGAACCCTTCGCGTGTGCGCTGGTGGCAGGGCCGCTGAAAGAGAGTCTGGTTCTCTTGAGGCCGTTACGGCTTCAGCGGCTGCGAGCCGCGGGTTAGCGGCCGCCCACATCTGCGCACGTGGTCCCTGCCGAGCGGCCGGGTCCCGCCACAGCGGCTCTGCTGTGAGTCCATGTTCCTGTGCGTTTTGTGTTCTTGGTTTCAGTGACACATTCCACGTGTTGCCGTGTGGCGGTTCCAGTTCAGACAGTTGTGCTGACGCAGTTCGGTGCGTCAGACGCGGGCGTGGTCTTCCGGCTCGCATGGGTGGGTGGGTCGCGGGCGTTTGTGGCTCCAGGACAGCGGCGTGGGCACGTGCGTGAGTTCTGTCAGCTGCAGGGGCGCGGAAGAGAAGGGCAGCCTGGGTCTAGCAGCAGACCTTTTTGTGAGTTACTGAAGGATAATTAACAACAACAAAAGAGGTAAACCATGACTTTCATACAAACGAAAGACGAGCAGTTACACTTTTATTTATGTCGTTGATTCATGAGGGCCCAGTAAGGTGTTACGAACCGTTCACAGGAGAATTCATACGATATGTACAGACCAATGAATGCCAGCAGGAGTCCACAGAGAGACACAAAACTGACCAACGCTCGAGTGTGGTTCATGGAGCCGTGAGATCGCTCACAGACAGTGAGCGCTGGAGGTCGCCCGCAGAGTGTGCCCACGGAACACCCATTTCAGAGTCTCGCACAGGCTTTCCTGACACTGTTTCAGAAGCCTCATCATCCCTCTGTCGTGCTCCAGGCCCACGTCCTCTGTCAGCAGTCGGGCATCAGGCACAGTTTTAGGAATGGCACAAAAAGATAACTGGTTGTCTGGTCTTATGTCTGCTCGAAGTTAAGTCATAGCCTTTATCGACTTTTTTCCTTGATCGTTAGAGCAGGGCTGCTGGTGTGGTCGAGGAGACCGTCCCTAGCCACTGTCTGTTACCTGGGCCTTGGCAGTGAGCTCACACCTATGCAGAAGGGAAATCTCTCTTTGCTTTTTATGAAAATACCAGGCAGACTAGTTCCCCGCCACCACACGCAAAGGATCTGGTGTGCTTGGTTGGTCTTAGTTCTTAGGGTTATGACAAATGAGTCGGCCATCCTCACCTCAGTGTCTCCTTTTGCAGGGTTTCTTACAGAGACTGGGAAGACCAGAGCAAGTACCATTTTTTCTACAGGAACTGAATCTGCGTTCCAAGTTACACAGATCAGAATTATGGTAATTCTCATACTCCCTTCTTTAAGCAACGTTACTGCTGCTTTTAAAGACAGGGTTCCGTTTCAGAGTCTGTGTCCCTGGTTTTCATTGCACGTGTGGTGACTGACCGTTCTGTGCCAGGCATGTAGCAGAGGGCTGGGACACAGAGATGAGGAGATCGTTGTCTGGGGATGTGTGACTAGAAGGCATTGCTTCTTAGAAAGCAGCTCTTTTGTTTTCCCGACTTAATGAACTCAAAATATCATTTTGCTCATTTGAATTTGCTTCAAGCTCTATGAATTTAACTGTACTTCTTGGAAACACAGCTGCCATAGGACTTCTGTACCTTCCATGTTTTTAGGTTCGACGTGGTGGCATTGGTGCCCAGTGTGGGTTGGTGTTTGCCTATAACTCCTCTTCTGATAAATTCCACGCAGAAGAACACTTCAAGAGGTTTGAAAAATATGACAAATGGAAGCTTCAGGAATTCAGGCAATTTCTAAAAAGCAGGTAAGGAACAGAATAAAAATCTTTGTAGTTAATAAGGCTGTATGCATTTTCTTATGGCAAAATATGCTCATGTCTCTACAGACAGGTGCCCCTTGTCTATCCCCAGTGGCCTTGAGCACTCACTGATCCCTGCAGCACCCATGAAGACGTGTTTTAGGATATGCCCCAAGCTCCCTCCTCCTAAACATGCTTTCACTGGGGGTATTTTAAGCACCCACTCTGCACGGGGCCTGATGCTCGCCACAGAAGAGATGTAGGGAACAAGTGGATATAGTCGCTGCTCTGTGGCGCTCACTGTCTACTCAGACCAGCAGCGTCACAGTGTGGTCAGCACTGGGCAAGATGGGGGGCTCTGGGAGGAAAGACCCTGGAGGGAGTGTTGTTTGTGTTAAGAGCTAAGGAGGGTGTACAGTTAAAGGGGAGATCCTGAGCAGAGAGCATAGCGGACCTGAGCCCTCATAGGTGAGCTGCGGCAGGCTCGGGCACGCAGGTGCCTGAAGTCACTGCAAGGGGGAGAATGCTGGGACGTGGAACTAGAGGTCCGGGAAGTGGCCCGCTCACTAAAGGTCTTTGTGTCTCTGGCTCAGGGCGAGAACTGTATCCTTTAAGCAAGGTTGGGTGGCCAGCGTAGTGTTGAGGAGCTTAGGGGAGGAGAACAAGGCAGCCAGATGTGTGTTTTACAAGTGTTGGTCTGGATCATGCTATGTGCAGTGTGGCTGGGGGAGAGCCAGCATGGATGCAGAATGGAAAGGGAGGAGGTGGCCAGAAGCCTAGGTCCCCTTGGCCAGAGCAGCATGGGCAGTGGTGGAGAGCTGGTAACTGACAGAGAGACCACCAGATGGTAACTGAGGGTAGAGCAGAGAAGGAGGGGTGGTGGAGGCTTTGGGGAGGCCTGGGATTTTGGCTGGGCCAGGTGGGGACACTGGGAGGGCCCTTCTCTGATAGAAACTAGCTTGGGAAAACAGTCTGTGGGAAGCTGATGAGCTCAGTGTTGGTCCTGTTGGATTTGAGGTCTAGGAAGACTTGGTGATACTTGGCAGCTCCTTGGGAGAGTGCATTGGAGCTGGAAGAGGTACAGAAGGTACCAGTAGGAGAGATGTTTGAAGGATAATTGAAGTGAGTTAGATTGTTCTGGAAGAGGATGTGAACTGGGAAGAGAAGAGAGATGTTGTAGATCAGTATGCTGAGAGGCACCAGCATTTAAAGGGCCACAGAGTAAAAAGGAGGCTGAGAAACAGCCAGCAGGGCAGGAGGAAGGCCCCCGTGTGTCATCATGAAGCCGAGGGGGTGACGGTAAAGGAAGTAGGGAGTGGGCAGGGGGATCGGGTGTTACCCAGGCTCGTTTGGATCAAGTCTGCAAGTGGACCTGTCGGATTCAGTCCCAGAGCTCACTGGTGAGCCTTGGGTAGCGTGGTCTCCCGCGTTCACAGTAGCGGGTTAAAACTCACCGAGCAGAACCCTGGACTTGCTGATTGTGCTGCTGTCTCTGGGGACGGGAACTGGAGTTAACGGTGGCCTTCATCCGGCACCCAGTTCTGTGCTGCCGTAGCCCGGCACCCGGTGCCATGCCACTGAGCTTGGCTGTGCATGCGCGTCCCCGGTTCTGCTTCGGTAGTTCTGGGGGGAGACTCTTACCCAGAGTTGGGAGCTCTCAGATGGATGCTGGTCCCCACACGCAGACCACACCAAGTAGCACAGGTCTGGAGTAGTTCCCTCTCTGCTGGGCATCCGCCGGTGGCCTTCAGTGTCCAGGACGCTCCTCCCAGTGGAGAGCCCGCTGCGCTTCCGCCGAAGTTCACAGCAGCTCAGCCGAAGTCTACGCCTGTGATTCCAGCCCTGCACGTGAACTGGAACAAATCTCCTTCATTCCTAGAGTCTCCCTCCCCACCGTATCTATATGCCTTCTTAAAAGATCCTTTTTTTCTAAAGAAGATTTTACTTATTTATTTGAGAGAGAGAGAGAGAGTGAGAGGGAGCAGGAGCAGCAGGCAGAGGGAGAAGCAGGCTTTCCGCTGAGCACAGAGCCTGACGGGGGCTCCATCCCAGGACCCCAGGATTATGACCCGAGCGGAAGGCAGGCGTTCAACCCACCGAGCCCCCCCAGGTGCCCCTAAAAGATCCTCTTTTTTTTTTTTTTTATGGTAACTAGAGATTACACTTGTTTTCAAGCAGCTCTGTCCCATTCTTGGGACATATTACGATGATTTTTTTTCTCCTAATCCTGTTAAATAAGATCTTTCACATTTTATGTAGGATTTTCTTCTAACCAGATGTAGTTCTCTTCACTCCTCACTTAGCGGTTTTAGCTCTGGTTCCGGCCTGAGCTACTCTGAAATCCTGATTTGCTTGGCCTGCATGTTACCAGTGTCTCTCCAGTTTCGAAATCAAGAGGTTAATGTACATGTGTCTGTCTTCTCCCATTTTTTTTTGTCTTCTGTCCTTCTGGCTGGTCATTGGTCAGTCGGCACGCTCCCGAGCCATCTGACTGGCACTGTCCATGCTCAGGAGGATGGACACTCAGTTCTCTTTTCTGCCTTCTGTCTGCTGTGGGGCGGTCAACAGGTTGCCTCTCTGTGCTCTCGGATGCCTGGCCATCTGTCTCTCCCTCTCCAGGACTTTCTCAAAGGCTGCCGCACAGCGAATTCAGAATCCTCAAGCAAGGTGTTGATGAAACTCGTTGACATGGTTTTGGGTTAAGGCAAAATACCTTCTGTCCTCTTGGTTTTAGGGTTAATTATGTCATGAAAGACCGATGGCAAGAAAGTCTTTTAAGTCAAGAAGAGAACATTTTTTTCTCCCTGTTACAGAACCTACTCTGGATCCTTAGTCTTCTCCCTCTTGCCACGAATGCCCATGTGTGCTTGTCCGCACAGAGTACTCACGCGCTGCTAGCTGTACCGCAGACTAGGTCGTGGGAAGTTCCAGGAGTATTACTTGAAAGACTGCCTTTTTCTCCTTGGGTTATTAGTCAATAACCTGACTCTGAAAAGGGAGTACAACTCAAGCGTCTAATTTTTAAGAAGTAGCTGGAGTTGTCCTTAACCCTTGAGGCTGAGATGCTTTCCTGGAAGCACCTTTTCAGGAACAGGAAAAAGTGAGGAGGCTGACGTCATCCCTTTTTGGAGCTCCAGGATCTGAAAGTCTGCCGGCCCTTCCCCTTGAGTTGTCGCAAGTGCACTGAACCTCGGGCTGGGTGTACGCGTAGTGGCCACAGCTGGGGAAAGAACAGAACCTCTCTCTCCTTGGGATCTTTCCAGAAGCTTATGGTGGCTGTTGTTTCTCGTTTCTGAGTCGCTCCTCTGAGATGCCTTGGTTACTGTCTCGTTCTTCAGACATGTTATCTGGAGAAGCAGACTTTCTCTTTAGTTCCCAGATTCTGTTTGGAGCTGATACTCGTTCCCGTGTCAGTGCCAAGGAGGCTGAGGAGCGGGGAGAAATGGCCAGCAGCCACTTCCACACCTGGGCCCCGACTGCTCGCGGCAGGTCCAGCTTCCCAGTTCAATGCCACGCGGATGGCGCCTGAGTCGTTAGGCCCCTGAGAATTTGGGAAGAGGACGGTGTTTTGTGATTTACGTGTGTTCGCAGGGCTGGTTGCCCCTCTGCGGAGCTCAGAGAGGATGACCCCGTTGGCTGGTTTGAGCTGGAAGAAGAGTGGGATGAAGCGGATGTGAAGTTGCGGCAGTGCAGAGTAGCCCAGGTAAGCCGTGCAGAGCTGCGGCCGCCCCGCGTGGCTACTCCCTGCTCCGGCTCCGGCTCTGGCCCCGGCCCTGCCTGTGGCGCGGCTCGTGTGCGCCGGAGCCAGGACCGTCGGAGCCTGGGGCCCCGTGACGGACGCTGCCTTCCAGGGACACACGGGGCTGTGGCCGGCTGGGGGAAGCACGCCTCCCCGGGCCTCAGGCCAGCGGGGCAGGTTTCCCAGGAAAGGGGGTATGCTGCCGAGCGCTGGAAGCCCATGATGGCACCGTCGCCCGCAGCCCAGCTAGGCCGTGGGGGGCAGGACAGCCGTGGTGGGGGGATGGGGGGAGCACCCCGGCCCGAGGGCACGAGCGCTGTGCCTCAGTGGCTGGGAGGGCAGCCGCTTCTGTCTGGGCCAAGTTACTCTCAGCCTTCGTGTCAGCCTCAGTGAGCAGCTTCGGGGAGAGAAGCAGGAGCTGCCCTCAGGGTTGGAGGGAGGAGATGCTCAGGAAGTGCTTCCACGTCTGGGCCCTGGGGTCTGGACGGCGCCCGGCTGAGCAGCTTCCGCTGCGAGAAGCGGGGAGTCGGCTTGGCAGGCGGCCTGCAGGGCGGCTCTGGCCTCGAGCAGACGGCGCTAGGCCCTGGGCTGTGGGTCAGTGGAGGCTTTGAGAGGGCTCCTCAGGGCACGTGCTGACCGCTCTTACCGTCCGCCTGATTTATCTTCCACAACGACGGGGCCGCACAGCAGATGCGCTTCTCGGATTCATCGTGTCTTAGCCCGTGTTTGCCCTGAACAGGGCGTGGTGCCGCTTCTCTCACTGAGACCGGTTCCAAACCCCGACTCGTCAGCATGAGTGTTTTTCTTCCTGTTTGTCGAGATGTTGGGCTTCCTTTTGGGCCCTCATGCTAGGCAGAGTGGGACCTAATAGATCATTGAAGTCACGGGGTTCCGTCCCAGAAAGGCCTGTATCTCCTTCCGTTTGTAGTCCGGCTTCTGAGTCCCTCTCCCTGAACGTCCCCGTCCTTCTAGTACCTGATGGTGAAGTTCCTGTGCACGCGCCAGGAGTCGGCGGAGCGCTTGGGTGTGCAGGGCCTCAGCATCAGCGGGTACCTGCGGCCGGTGAGCGCGGACGCGGAGCAGCCCGCCGTCTGTGCCCACTGCAGGAAGGACGGGGAGGACAGCGTCTGTGGGGCCACCCTGCTCCTCAGGACACTTCAGTTCACTCAGCAGCTCGCCCATGACCTGGTACCTCGTTCCCGTGCGGCGCGTTAATGGTGGTGTTGAGGGAGATGCACAGCACCAGCGAAAGCCGGCCGCGGCGAGCTGTGCAGGGCTGTGTGCTGTGGGCATGGTGGCACTGGGATGGCGTGGGGAGAGCCGGGGCAGGAGGCTCTGGGCATCCGTGGTGTCAGTCCCCGGAGGATGTGTGGTCGTCACAGTGACGCTTCCTGGAATAGACCTACAGACAGACCTTGAAGACCCCCGCGTGGTGGCTGGTGGTGGTCTGGGGACATTGAGTAAGCTTGTGAGATTTCCATCTCTCTTAAGTCCCGGGAGGATTATTTCCAAGGTCCGGGTGATTGTGTTTGCTCACTGACGGTACCAGGATGTCAGGGTTTGAAACGGTCTGTGGTCCTGACACTGACTCGTTCGGTCACTCGTACAGTCACTAATAAGAATGCAGTGATAGCTCACTCTGGGGAAGACTCTCACCACCATCACCATAGGGAACACACCACTCGGCTCAGGGGTCAGTGGGGCCTCTCGCCCTCCCATGGTGGGGTGCGGGTGTTGCTGAGACCCAGTTTAACTCCGATCTGTTTGGTCTTTGTTACTCAAGCTCTCCTGTCCCAGCAGGAAACATAAATGGCGCTGGGGGAGGGGAGGTGGGTTGCCGCAGAGCCGCGGGGGCGCTGGGGCAGCATCGACGCGGGCGGGGGTCTGAGCACACTGCTGTGTCGTCTCGCTGGTGCCCTGGTGCGGTGTGTATGGAGTCGGGAGTCTCTGTGTGGTGCGTGTGCGTCTGTGCACGTCTGTTCTCATCTCCGTGCACACGTACACATGCCCTGTAGAAAGTGCCACACTGGGCAGGGTTGTTCGTGCGCTTCTGGGCTGGGGAGCGTCCGCGTCATCCGTGTGGGAAGCCTACGCCTGTTCCCACCAAATGGTAAATGAGCCATCCCAGTATTTCTCTAAATGCATTTTCAATGTTATTTTTTCTGGTTTTTATAATTTTTTAGGTGCAGCAGAAGGAAAGTGGCTTAAAATATAAATCTTTTCTGGACTTCGCGGGTCTTGATTTGCAAATCTTCTGGAATTTTTACAGTAAATTAAAGCAAAAGTAGGTCAGACTTTGTTATAAGGTGATAATCATATAAACAAAACTGAAAAAGCTACTTTTTATATTCCAAATAGTCTTTTTTTTTTCTAAGATTCTTTGACGTCTCCCTGGTTTATACTGTTCTCGTTTGAGAGAACTGGTTATTGTTAAAGACAGCGCCTCACGTTTCTGTAACATACTTTGGGCATTGTTTCTGCAAACATTTTGTCAGGTCAAGCACTGGGGTGTGCCCTCATTTTATAGGTGGAAAAGTAGGGTCAAAAACGCGTGTCCTTGGCCCACTGTGGGCAGACTCTGGCAGGGTGTGAGGTTCTTTTCATTCTGCTTCTTTTCCTCTCCTTGGCCTTCTTTTTTTTACTGGGCCTGCTGCGTAGACTAGAGTCCTTTTTAGACAGCTTAGGAGGGAAAAAGCAACTTGCCGTTTAACGCTCTGACGTGCTTGCCTTTCTGTAGCCCGAGGGAAGAATGCATCTGTGCCCAAACCCTGCTTCTGCGTCTCCTCCAGAGCTGCTTCTCCGTGCTGCAGAGGGATGGGCCGGCTGCCTGCCCGCAGGCAAAGGCTCCCCAGCAGAGTCCTGCAGGGGCTGCGGCCGCCAAGGAGCTCCACACACATTTATGTGACGGTAGGGATTGGGCTGGCCTTTACTTTTTTTTTTTTTTGAAAGATTTTATTTGTCTATTTAACAGAGAGCGCGCGGGAGAGCAGAAGCGGGGGGAGGGGCAGAGGGAGAAGGAGAGGCAGACTCCCCACAGAGCAGGGAGCCAGGGAGCCTGATGCGGTGCCCCATCCCAGGACCCCGGGATCATGACCTGAGCCGAAGGCAGACACTGAACCCACTGAACCCCACAGGCGCCCCTGGGCTTTTCTTGAATGTGACGCCGTGCTGGTAGCCTGCCAGGCCTCTTGCTGTAAGAACAGGGACTCTGTGCTCATGCAAGCCCAGGAGAGGGGTCACTGCTTGGGAAAATGAGGGTTTCCTTGGATTTTCTTTTGATTCATTATTTTGAGTTCAGGATTTAGTCTCTCATCAGTGAGTCTTCCTCCTGGTTTCTTTTTTTTCTCTCTCTTTTTTTTTTAAGATTTTATTTATTTGACAGAGAGAGAGAGAGCATGAGAGAGGGAACACAAGCACAGGGAGGGGAGAGGGGGAAGCAGGCTTCCCACAGAGCAGGGAACCCGATGCGGGGCTCGATCCCAGGACCCCGGCATTATGACCTGAGCTGAAGGCAAACGCTTAACAACTGAGCCCCCCAGGTGCCCCTTCCTCCTGGTTTCTGACCACAGGCGTGTCACACTGATAGTGATGACTGTCACGCTCTTCAGTCCTCACTGTAGTGAAGACACTGGGATGGGAGGGAGGGGAGAGAATAAACACGTGGCCACGTGGAATGACTGTCAAGGCTTTGCCCGGTTGTGGCTCAGAAGGGCAGGGAAATAATGAAATGAAAACTGGTACATATGGCCCTTCTGTCGGTGCAGTGCATTTCCTGTGCTGCCGTACACAGGCCCTCGCTACGCGGCGGGGTGGCAAGTCAGGGGCTGGCGAGCGTGGGTACCGACATTGTGAGCAGGGTGGGGGATGTGACAGCTGACGCCGTTGTTCGTTTCCCGGCAGTGGTGGACAGGGTGGACAGAGACTCTGCACCCGTGGAAGCGTTAAAACAAGAAGTCAGGAATACCCTTCTCAATGGGGCTGCCGTCTTCTTTCCTGACCGACAGAGCCGGCGGGACCATCTCTTCGCCATGATGGTAATCACTCACGTCGGGAGTCTGGAGGGAAGGCAGTTAGGGTTCCCTCTTTCCTTTGCGCGTCTCCTCGGTTTCGGTGTTCCGGGTGTGCATCTGCTGCTGACCCTAACCCAGCCGCCTGAGGGCCCCGCGCCACCCCTGCCCTTAAGGAGGGGACAGCTCACGTAGCCTGTTGTCTCACAAAGTGGGATATCGTCTCCCTCCTCTTCAGGATTTCCCTGCAGCCAAGCATTCTTTTCAACAGTTGTTGCTTCTTTGTTATGGGGAAGTCTAAAACAAACACAAAACTAGAGGAAATATGATACCCCCTGCCCCATCCTCCTTACGTGCCCCCCAGGTTGGGCACTTGTAAACTGGGGCTCGACTTGTTTCATCGGTGATCTGCCTCCTCTGCTCTCTCCCTTCCCTTCCCCCCGTGTGATTTCAGAGGAAATCCCTGACCTGTTCCCAGGCGTCTCAGATTCTCCTGCAGGGAACTGCAGCCCTCACCTACCTGTTGCCCTTGCACTCAGACGTCAGGAGTGGCCGGTGAAGCGTGCTCTCAGGGTTTATGAGCAGTATGTTACCAAGTGGAATATCCCGTACAAAGATTCAGATTTTTAGTCCTGAGGGTAGTATTTCTGTGGGAAAATGAGTGTGATACAGGGGGAAACAGATCAATGACAATGTAAGAACAAAAATTTCTCTCTCTGATCAGCACGGGGTCTGCTCGTCCTTCTCTCTGCCCGGCCCCCTCCAGGGGCACATGCGTGGGTGGGTGCTCTCTCTCTCTCTCGAAGTGTTAAAAAAAAAAAAAGCTTAAAAAAATTTCTCTGAGCAATGCTGAACACATGTAGGCCAGAAAGCTCCAGAGTTCCCAGTGCTCCAGAGGTGGCACGACACACGGAAACATAAAAGAGTGGCAAGGAAGCAGACTTATTATAGGCCAGGCTTTCTTGTAAACATTGTAAGAAAAGCCTAACGAAACATTTGTAAACCGGTCTGGTAAAATCCAAAGTGCTGACTGACTGGGAGTTACCCTAGGAATACAAGGGTGGTTTAATGTTAGAAAATTAGTAAGTGAGGTTAGAGGAAAAAGTTATGTCAGTAAATACAGAAAACATTTAAGTAAGATTAAATTCTGATGATGATTAAAACTATAAAACCATTAGCAAACTCAGAGCAGAAAGGAACTCCCCCCAACCTTCTGGAGGCCGTGTGCCCCAGACTTTTAACAATATGCTGGATGGTGGACCCTAGAAGCATCCCTTTCAGAATGAGGAAGAAGACACGGACGCTCACCGGCCGCTGCTACTCCGGGAGGTCATCAGAGGGTCTGGCCAGTGCAGTAGGACAAGGAAGAGAGATTTTAAACATCATAATCGGAAAGGATAAGATAAATAATTCTTTATAGGTGATACAATTATAGATTGTTTTTTATTGTCTGTAGACAAGCAAGTAGTAGAATTATTGGTAGGAGCTTGATGAAGAAAATAGATCCAGCATTTTAAAAAAGCATTTTTATTTTTTTCAAGATTTTATTTATTTAACAGACAGAGATAGATCACAAGTAGGCAGAGCTGCAGGCAGAGAGAGAGAGAAGCAGGCTCCCTGCTGACCAGAGAGTCCGATGCGGGGCTTGATCCCAGGACCCTGGGGTCATGACCTGAGCTGAAGGCAGAGGAATTAACCCACTGAGCCACCCATGCACCCATAAAAAGGCATTTATAAATGCAGCAGCTAATTAGCAAATGTAATAAAGTCTTTATGGGGTTCATAGAAAGAAAGAAAGGAGGGAACAAAAGCACCAAATGTGGTCTCTGGAGCCAGGGGACTACAGTTCAGCTGGGGACACCGGCCACAGGGAAAAGCCGCAGAGCGTTATGGGGCCAAGTGCTAGGGTCAGGTGACTGCGGATGGTTTCGGGGATGAGGCAGGATCTTCCGTTGTTTTCATCTGTCTGCAAAATTTGCACGTCAGCCTGAAGGATCAGTTTTGCACCCAGACTCATGACCTTGGACAGCATCTGCTGGCCTGACCCACTGGACTGTGGGCAGGACTCCCATCTTCCTTGTTTACTGGCAGCATTTGCCAGGCCGCTCGCAGTGACTTGCTTTGCTCGCGTGTGTCCCGCACATAGAAGTGGCAGATGACACGTGACCTCTTGAATGGCATTGCCATCCGTTTGCAGCCCCGTCGCTTTCCCTTCACCCGTCCCTACTGATGGCGGTGGTGGGGCTCCGTTTTCCCTTCTCACGCTGACGAACGGAAGCCTCATCTTGCGTCTCCCACTCTCCTGAGCCAGGCAGGGCCCTGGGTCTTCACTGCTCTGGAGACCCCCTCCAGCACCTTGCCGGATGGTCGGTGTTCAGCACGTTTATTGCATTAAGAGAGGGACCCTAAAGTGGCCCGGTAGCCTCGTCAGGAGACGTGATTCCTCCAACGGTGACTTTAGGCTGCTCCGGCTTATGTCAGGAAAGCTTAGATCCCATTTCAGAGCCGAGAGAATACTCGAGAGAAGTGCGCTGTTCCTGCCCTTTTCTCTCGCGATGTTTTCCCCGGGATGAGAAGCACCCCGCCTGCCACACGTTTGCATCGTGAGTTCCCGCGGGGAAGCCTGGCCGCGGGAGCTTTAGCAGTGCCCCGCAGTGAGCCTGCCGTCTTCAGTTGTGTCGGGGAGCCGGCTCCTGCCAGCACTGGGCCGGGCCTAGTGGCATGCTGTGGAGCGTGTGCCAGCACCAGCTTTGCTTGTGCTCGGGAACGGGCCAGTGGCCCTTCATGCTGCCCGGGCTCTGGGATGCCGTGGAACAGGTGTCTGACTGTGCACTTTGTTGTTTTCTAGAAGCACGTCACCGAGCAGGAGCACAAGCAGTCCCTGCAGCTCACTTTCCGTTCGCTGTGCACCTATTTTAGGTGAGTTCCTGGCGCTTTCCGCCCTCCATCGTTCCCGTGTTCGTGAGGTTTGCTTTAGCTCTCCGTCCCCTCTGCTCAGCCAGATTCCGGGAGGGAGAGGCCACTGGTCAGAGGAATGGGTCAGGTGGTGGTGGGGCGATGACCTTGTCAGGAGTTTGAGCCACGGCCCAGTCCTCCTGAGACCGTTGGGGACAGCACCCACTGAGGAGCTCTGAGCGCTCCTGTTTCTCGGTGACACTGAGGTCGAAGATGCCGACTGAAGCCAGAGGAGCTGGGCGTCCTGTACTCAGGTCTGAGAACCCAGAAGCACAGAGCGGGAGTCAAGCAAGGGCAGTGTGCCGGGAGGGGGCGACTCGGAGATCTTTGCGTGCTTGGCTGGTGGAGCAGCTAGTGGCCCTGTAGGCGGCCCTCCTGGAGGCCTATGCTCTTGAAGAAGGGAGGGAACGCGCGGCCCAAGCTCCTGTTGACATGTGAGGCCGTATCTAGAGCGGGGCAGACTCAGAGGGCTCCGAGTGGGTCTGCATTCGAGGATCCGGGCAACGAAAGAGCCTCGGAGCTCGTTAGGGGAGCTTCTGAAGACATGAATGCGCAGCCTGGACTGTGCAGTTAGCCCCCGTGAGATCAGGGGTCTTTCTTGCTGGTGGTCACGGTGATGGAGTCACCAGACTGACTTCTCAGACTCTCTGCTCAGGACTTGAGGTGTACGGCCTGAGCTTACTCAGGACATGGGGGACAGACAGCGGCCCAGACCCAGCTGGGACCTGCCTTTTTCCTGACCCAGACTCCTCCACAATCCGCAGAACTGGCACTGAAATCCTGCATCCTTTTCTGGAAACTTTAAAGACAAAAGCATGAACATGCTGTGCCTGAAACAACGTGTCGTGACAGACTTGTGTCCTTTCAGTGATAAGGATCCAGGTGGCCTCCTGCTCTTGCCTGAGAAGGGTGACGTGGCCGACTTGAACAACTCTGAAGTACTAGCGGTCACAAGCACCCTCCTGTCCGTTGCTGCCCGAGAGGTAACTGGTGGCCGCTCCGCTCCCCTCACACCCGGCGATTGCCGCCCCCGTTGTCCTGGTCCCCTTCACCTCCCCTCACTCACCTCGTGACACGGCAATGGCGGGCACCACCCCCGTTGGCCACGTTCACAGTGTGGTGTAGCTTTGTCCTGGGGCTATTCCAGGTGGGCACCGACACTCCCTGGCCTGCTGTGGCTCCTTATCGCCGGCTTCTGGGGCCAGTCCTGTGCTAGTCAGCGAGCCATCCGTGTGTGGACATGCTTGTTGAGACTTCCCTTGCGAAGGCGGAAGGGGTCTTTGCCATGTCCGCTGGGGTGCGGTCCATGAGCCCAGCACTTAGGCCTGTGTCCGTGGAGGGGGTTCCGTGGAAAACTGCTTTAATTTTTTTAAAAATTCAAGATGCCTTAGGAGATGCACATGCTAATCAAGTCTGAGAAGATAGTCTCTCTTGTGTGTGCCAGTGATACTTTCAAATTTTCACCTTTTTTTTTTTTAACCTGAAGGATTCTGTTTCTCACAGTGTCATCTACCTGTCAAGTGTGGTGTTTGGACAGAAATTTGGGTTTCTAGGTCCCAGCCCAGGCTCCTGCCTTAGAGCCTCTTGGGACAGGATTATGAGTCTGTGTGACACCGCACACCCTGGGACTCTGACATGACAGGACCCCGTGACTAGGGGACCAAGGACTGCTCTCTGGACAGAACATGGACTGGGGTGTGGGGGGTGATGTGGGCCAGGCCATACCGCACGCCGGAAGCGTCGAGTGATGGAGACTTGATGGTAGTGTCTTCTGTGGCCGAACTGGAGTGTCTTTCCGCCCTTTACTTGGGTTCTTCCGTCAGTGCTCCGCTGTTTGGGTCGCTGCCAGAACCACAGTTCCATCTGCTCCTGGCTGCTCTGTGTGCAGGGAGACAGCTTCGAAAGTGCCAGGTTCTCATTAGCCGGGATCACCCCATGGGCTGGCCCTTGCACACCTAGTATGACTTCCAGTCCAGGGTCGTCTCTGTCCCCCTGGGATGCCCGCATCCTCTGTCGCTGCTGTCACATTCATGTTCTCTGGCTGCCTCCGGCCTTCTGTCTCATTTCCAGACTGTCTGGCCCATCTCTATCTTCCCTGAAGCCCCTCTAGCCAGCTGCTCATTGGTATTTGCTCTAGGTCCTGGTGGCCGCACCCCACTCCCATCTGCCTCTATTCCTGCCACCGCCTGTGCTCACGCTTGTGCAGAAGGCCAGGGACAAGATGGGGAGGGCCAGTATTTGAAGAGGAGAAGGGCCGGGGGTGGACTTGGAACATGTGACTTCGTGGTAGGACTTGAGACGGTGGGAGCTCCTGGATACTCGGGAGTTGAGTCAGTGCTGGGACTGGTGCGGCCACCGAGGGACAGCCGAGCCCTGAACTGCCCACCGCACCACACGCCTTTCCCCGCAGAGGCAGCCGCCCTTGTGAGGTGTACACTGATCTTTCCTGTCTGGCTTTTCCTGTGCAGCAGGCTTGTTTGGCCTGGTCCCGTGGTGCACATCCATCAGTTACACTGTTTCTGAGGCTCGTCCACGTGGACGTGCACAATGCGGTTGATCTCTTGTCGCTGGTGTGTGGGACTCCCCTCGGGAACCTGCCACTGTGTATCCCAGTTACTTTGGAGGGCCAGTGGGGTTGTTTCTAGGTGGGGGCAACTCCGTGGAGATTGTGGGACGGACATAGCTTGTGGTATCTTTGTGCAGGAATTTACCCCTTGAGGTCAGGTGAGAACAGAGCTGATGGCTGGAGAGCCACCGAGGGGCAGAAAATGACTTTTCAGGTGGATAGGTGTGGTGTCAGGCTCCGGGGAAGGGCCCAGAGAGAAATGGGGTTTACAGGCGTAAGAGAGAGGGGGTAACCGGTAGGACGAGACCCCGAGGGGGCAGAAGGGGAGGCTGCTGACAGTGAAAACCATGCGGGAGGCCTCTGGAGAGCGGGAGGGTGAGAGAGAGGCTTTCACCTGCCTTTTCTCTCGGTTACATTTGAAACGCGGACAGCTCTGGGCTGGGGACGGCTGCCGTGCCTGGGTGCCTGTGCCCGTGTCCGGTGCTCTGCTCCCGCCGTGAACACGTTCTCTGTCTGCTTCTCGCAGTGCGAACTGCTGGTGCTCACGGGCGCCCGAGGGGAGGCCGGCTCCGTGCTGCTGTCCCTGTTCTGGGCCGCCCAGGGCAGCCTGCTCTCCTGGTGCTTCCTGCAGCTGAAGAGCGCCGACCCCGCGGCCAGAGGCCGAGCGGCCGACCTGCTGGAGCAGTGTGAGTGCCGGCCGCGCCGTCCCAACCCCGCCAGAGCACAGGGCCGCTTGGGCCTTGCCGCTCTCTTCGGAGCCTTGTGCGCGGAGTGCCCAGAGGGTTTTCTCTCCCGGGTGGCAGATTAGTCTGTCTCTGGGTGGTGGTTCCTTCCTCATCTAGGGTTCTGTGGCCTGTCTTTTTGCCCAGAGTGCTGTGAGTGTGTGGTGTGCCCAGCGCTCCCGCCGTGGGGCCCTCCATCACGTGGCGCTCTGAGGTGACACCACACTGTACAGCAGAGCCGGTCATCCGGCTTTCGTTGAGGCACCCAAACGGGAGAGGCTTGAACTTGTGAAGTCTCAGGTGTATGGGACCATTGCTGTGGTCTTTGCACACCCCGAAAATGCTCTTGTTTGTGTCCCAGAAACCCGCAATGATGTGACCTTCCCCAGGTTCTGAGAAATACGCGTGTGGCATGTGGACTCCCAGCAGTGTGACAGGACTGCTGACGGGGCCCAGGCCTGGCTCCTGCGGCTCAGCCCGAGGCCTGGCCTCCTGAGATGGGCCCGTTGTGAGCAGAGTGAGACTTCAGCCCGGCCGCTGGGCTGCTCAGCTGAGATCCACCTCATCCCAAAGTAGCAAAGACCGAAATCTGCCTTTTAAAGCGATCCTTGCCTGAGATCTGCACTGCCTTTCCTCCCAGAGGAAAACATACCCGTGGCACTTGGTGGCCTTTTGATGTGGAATTCTTGTCACCGCACCTGTGACCCTCTCCAGCTTTGTCCTTCATGACGACCAAGCAAGGGACGTGGGTCCCGCACACGATACTAACTGCTGTCTCTATGTTTCGGCAGATGTGAGGCAGTTTCTGGCAAGCATGAGAGTGATTTTGGAATCCCTCTTGTCACAGCACAGTGGAAAAACCATCGTAGAAAAGTTATGTAACTCGGTGTTTTCGATGGCAGCTCGTCAACTGGTAAGACACAGTGAGGGTCTTTGGAAAGGGGGTTTTGTAAGCTGCAGCCCCAGCAGAGTCCGAGGAGGGTGCTGAGGGCCTTGTCGATCTCCTTCAGGTCATCTTCCTGCTGGATTTCTGCACGTTGGATGTCCCCCACTGCACGCTGCTGCGCGAGTTCAGCACGCTGACGGGGCTGCTGAGGCGGCTCTGCGCCGACCCAGAAGGGCCGCTTGATAAGGTAACCGGGGTGGGCGCCGGCGCTCGTGCTGCAGCCTCCGAGAGTGCCGGGACCGTTGGGGGGACCCGCCTCCAAAGGCCTCCCCACCACGTGGTATCAGTGGTTCGCGGACGAGGGTGCGTGGCGGCCCAGGGACTGGGCATGGCCCACACAGCCAGGAGGCTGCATGCGGGCCGTCCGCTCTCACAGCCCAGAGCTTGTGTAGAACCCGGTAGGCGAATGACCAGATTGGAGTCTGGAAGAGACACGACGTGTCGAAAGGCAGATTCAAAGGTTGGGTGTTTAACAGAATTTTCTCTCTGTTTAACTTTATGGGACACAGAGATTTGCACTTTCTTCTTTGAGTCCTGGAACAACTCTGTGGGAGTAGAAAGGGCATATATTATAAAGCTTATTTTAAAGGTGAAAAAGCAAAGACTAAAAATGGAGAGAGACGAGAGGATGGGCTCAGATTTGCCGAGGTCCCAAATTCAGTGTTTTTTCTCACTGGAAATTCATGTGAGTAGTGACTTGCAGGAAAACAGGCTAATCTTGTACTGAAAACGCACGTGTCCTCTGCTAAGGGCTAGACGCACGCTGACCTGTCCGCAGGTGGAACGCGGGGCTCTCCGTAGCCCATGCGACCATGTGTGTCCGGTGCCTGGGCCGTCCGTCTGGGGCCCGGATGCACAGCTTTCCATGTGGCGGGACACAGAGTGACCGGCGCTTGCTTTCTCGACTCATTTGTGTGTGTAGCTCGATGCAGAGACGTGGCAGCAGGAGTGTCCCGTGGTGTTACATACCTGGACAAAGGAGTCTGCCCACAACTATGAAAACAACTGCCACGAGGTGTCTGTCTTCGTGAGCCCGGGGGCAACCTACTTTGAGGTGGAGTTTGATGAGCGGTGTGAGACGGAGAAAAGGTAAGACTCCGTGGTCTTCTCCTAAGCGACAGCGGGTTAAAATGAGAGAAGGAGAGTGATGGAGATTATGCCTTCCCAGGTATGATTATCTGGAATTCACTGACGCCAGAGGAGGAAAAACACGCTATGACACCAAGGTCGGCACCGAGAAGTGGCCCAAGGTCAGTGGTGCTGCCAGAAGGAGTGACGTGCGCGCTTCTGCTCCGATTCCCTCCTGGTCAGCCCCTGGGGGCCTGGAAGGGAAGCACTTCCCCTGCACCTCTGTGAAAGGAAGGGCTCTGCAGAGCTGGCAGTGACAGCCGGCCACCTGTCCTGTAGATCGGGGTGCTTCAGCACCCAGCCTGCCCATCGGTTGATGGGTCATTTCTAGCTGCTTGGGCGCTGCAGAGACTGGACGGCCCGGGAGATCTCCTAACTCACAGTCTGGTTCTTCAGCACAGTTTGCCACCCCCTGGCTTCTGTCACATTGTCTGGTGTGTGTGGGACTGGGGGTCCAGGAAGGCCCAGAGCCCGTGGTGAAAGCCGGCAGTGCCCACCAGAGGACTGCGTGGTCTCTGGGGCAGGCGAAGTGCTGCTTCCCCCCATTGGCGTGCTCTCTGGTGGTCTCAGTGGGGAGCATGAGCACCGTTTCTGGATGAGCAGGCAGTGGGCAGACGGGCGTCCGAGGTCTAGAAACCTACCACCGTTGCTTCTTCACGCGGTGCAGTTGTGGACTTTGTGTTTCAGCCGCCCCTCCAGTCACCTGGGCAGGCGTGGTGAGACCGGAGGGCGAGGACAGACACCGATGTTGGATGCAAGTGTCTGAGTCTTGAAGAATGTTTGCCTCAAAGGGGTATTTTCTCAACCGTGTTTAACCTCGTGGCTTTTGTGCTTGTGTCTAGAAAGTGACCTTTAAGGCCGGCCCCCGGCTGCAGTTCCTCTTCCACTCCGACAGCAGCAACAATGAGTGGGGCTACAAGTTCACTGTCACCGCCTTTGGCCTGCCCGACGTGGCCATGTCCTGGGCGCTGGACTTGCAGCTGCTCGTTTCCCGGCTAATGGGACGCCTGGCTGCCCAGTGCATGGCGCTCAAGTCCGTGCACCGTGAGTCCCTTGCGCGTCGGCTCCACACGAGGGCGGGTGCGGGTGTGATGGCGTCTGTCCTCACCGGCCTGCAGACCACACCAGGCCGTGGCCAGGGCCCGCTCGGTGCCGGGCCATCAGGTGCTTCGATGTGGACTTAGGAGCATGTCCCAGCGGGACTGAGGATGCCTGGGCTGGAGAGCAGCCTCGGTGGCTTCTTCTTGTTTGTGAAACTTGGAAGGCAGAAATAGAGTGAATTAGCCGTGTCTCCTTTAACCGCGTGAATATTTATGTTACATGCAGGAACGCGGACTTTGTCTTAAAGGGATTTTTTTAACTTCGTTATTAAATGCATCGAAGGAACGAGAATTACAGAATAAAACTTCCTAGTATGTTCTATTTCTGTTTCCTTTCCTGAGTTTTTCTGACCGTCAAAGGAAACATCATAGAAGTTACATGATGGAGAAAGATGAAGGAGAAAAGTCATTCCTAGTTCTACCGCCCAGAGAGAACTGTGACTAACATGCTAACGTATTCCTGTCTAGACTTTTTCTCATGTCTGTTCATAAACACACCTGGCTGGGTATTTAATTCTTTTTTTTTTCAAACTTAAGTTTGCAAATTGTGAACATATCCCCCATTAGACGCTTGGCCTCAGTCTCCGGCTCTTCCCTGGCCGTGGTCTCAGCTCACTTCGCCTCCTGCCCTGGCAGGTCCAGAGGTGCCCGCGAGCAAGGCTGCCTGTGGCAGGGCCGCGCCGCGCCCCAGGGTGCCCTTGTGGTGGGGGTGCATCCGGGGTGTGTGTCCATCACGTAGCACAGCTCTGTGTTGGGAAATGGGGGTGGGTCCCCGGCACGTCCTCGGAACAACCCCATGGTTGAAACCTTCTCTTGGCCAGCCCCCAGAATCTTGTCCCAGGGGAGACACAGCGCTCTCACCAGCCTCCTTCTCTTTCCAGAGTTCGGGAGCGACATGGTGGTGCCTCCCGCAAAAATGGCGTCGGTCCTGAACTCCCCGCTGTGGAAACCTGTCTTTAGGCATCAGCTGAGTCCAGAGTTGGGATTAGCAGCGAGCTGGCCCACTCCCCTGCACCAGGATAGTAAGGAGGTATTTACTAGTGGCGTCTTTCTCCTGGGAACGGAGTGTTTGCTGATAGCTGCTGCTTCCGCCGTGAGCCCTGGTGTCGGCGTCCTCACCCCCGCTCAGCTGTTAGCGGCCCGACGGCAGGGGCCATCCCTTGTTCACGTGGTGTCCACTCGGAGGGCCCCGGGGGCCGGCGGGTCATGTGGTCGGTGCTCGGGAACTCTGGCCGAGTCCCTGCACGAGCCGGTGGATTGTGTCTCTGCAGCCGCTGAGTCAGATGTCCGAGTCGACGGTTTGGGCGCGCTCTGTGCTCCGTGGAAGAGTGGCCCATTACCTGGGCTTGCGATGACTCCCGAGCTGGACACGTCTGCCCGTTGTCTCTCACCGTCCCCCTTGCCTCCGTCTCTGCTCTGGGGTGCTCTACCTCCCTCCCTTGCCTACTTCACGGAGTGGGCGGCTGAGAATCCTGGGGCTCTTCCTCGGCCTTCCCCGACCTCCGTTAGACCGTGCTCCTTCAGAGCCTGTCTTCCACCGGCTCCCTGACAGCCCGCTGTCCTTTCCGACCTCCAGCTGCGGCCCTGCCTCCTCAGTGGGCCTCGCCTGTTCTTCCTCCCCTACAGTGGAGGAGTTTTGGCTTTCTCCCCGTCCCTGCAGCCCACCAAGACCGTCCCGTCTTCTCCCTTTGGCTGTCATATCTGTGTACAACCTCCCCAAACCTCAGTCCATAGTCCTGGTGCTTCTCCAGGCTCCACTCCTGTGTCCCCGTCCTTCCGTTAGGTGGTTCCTTGTCAGTGTCCCAGCTCCACTCGAGGGAGGACGTGCCCCGCCCCTGGCTGCTCGCTGCTGTCACTGTCATTCTTGTTTCCCTTGGCACGGAGCTACGGCTCCCTGTCTTGCTCTCACATCCCCCACCCGGTCCACCACCAGCCCCGGGGATTGTCCTGGGGTGTTCAGCTCCTCCCACCTCCTCCATCTGCATCTTTCTCTAGGCCCTCATCCTGCACGTGCCCTGGCACACTGGGACCTACCAGGGTTTTGGTTTTTTTTTTTTAAATATTTTATTTATGTATTTATTTATTAGAGAGAGAGAGAGAGAGAGAGCGCGTGCACAAGCAGGCAGAGTGGCAGGCAGAGGCAGAAAGAGAAGCAGGCTCCCTGCTCAGCAGAGAGCCCAATGCGGGACTCGATCCCAGGACTCTGGGATCCTGAACAGAGCCAAAGGCAGTGGCTTAACCCACTGAGCCACCCAGGTGTCCCTACCAGGGTTTTTTAGCCACTGAATTTCCTTGTTATTCCATGGCCGGACACCATTATTGGCTCCCGTTGCCCACAGGGTGGGGTCCAGGCTCCTCATCGGGCCGGGCAAGGCTCTGTCTGGGCTCCTCTCACGGCACGTCTCTGCCCCTCGGCCGCTCCCCAGCTGAGACTTCATGTCTGCTGGCAGTTTTGTTCCTCAGGGGCCGGAGGAGTCTTCAGGGTCCAGTCCAGAGCCCACACCCTCCAGGAGGCTTCTCTTCTCACCCCAGCCTGTCGGGAGCTCTCCTGGGGGCTCTCAGCACTGGGTGCCCCTTCCTGGCATTTGGCACTCGATTACCTTTCCGTCCATGGTGGCGCTCGTGTTTTTAAAGCCTGGTTTTTAAAGCTGTGTCTCTGTCTGGTTTGCGCAGTGGCGCGAAGCTTCCTGTTCTGTCCTACTTTGTTCTGGTTGGTGTTGGGTGGACTTGGTCGTGTGAAGGGCTGCATTCAACACGATGTGTTCTTGTTTTGTTCCAGGTCAAGAATATCCCCGACGATCCCTGCCACCACTTTCTTCTTGAGTTTGCACAGTCAGACCCTGCCCAGAACTTCTGTGGGCCATTTTCAGAACTTTTCAAAGGATTCATACAGGCATGTAGAAAACAGGCCCCAAAGACAGATATAGTTGCTGGTTCCACTATTGATCAAGCTGTGAACGCCACCTTTGCTGCTCTGGTGTGTCGTACTCCAGGCTTGTATGAGAAGCTGCAGAAATATGGTAACTTATATTACAGGGAATATTTCTGATCTGAAGGCCAGTTGCTAAGCTTTAAGAAAGCCTATCTTACGGGAACATTTCTAAGCATTTTGAAGTACAAACATGTTTCTACAACTGTAGACCTGCTCTGGTTAAGTCCCATTCTGCCAGTCAGAAGATCCGTGACCCGTTTTTAGTTAGACAACTGTCATGTGTACAAGTAGCCTTGAGTTTCCTAATCAGCAGGTCACTTCTTTCTCCAAAATCCTCGTGGAAAACTGCCAAGAAGTTTAAGGGAAGGAGGCCCTAACTTGGGTTATAGTCTCGGGCAAGAACTTGAAGTCGTGTGGCTTCAGGTTCGTCAGACAAGCTCTCTGCACGTTCGTCCCCTTATCCATAAACGTGGGAGTCGGGAGCTCCGACATCCTGAGAAATGCTGGTCAGACCCCGAGTTGTGTGGGTAATTCAGGGTGCTGATGGCCAAGGAGGAAAACGTATTCACTCTTGCCTTTAGACCTAAAGCATTTGTAGCTTTTGGAGGCCTCCTGATTGGTTGCCCGCTCGTTGCCATCTCTGTTCCTCGTGTCCCCCCTCCACCGCATGCGCCCCCCCCCGCAGTGCCGGCTGCATCCTGTGAGTGTAGCCAGCAGCCTCCGGGACCGGGACCCGCGGGAGGGAGGGGCTCTCTCCCCCCATAATCTCTCAAGGGAAAAGCATTTCAGGCCCTCCGTAAAGAGGAGCTAGGCCTTTCCCCAGCACTTCAGCTGCGTGTGTGTTGCTTTCATGGTGCACATGAGCTGAGCAGGGACTGTGCTTCCCCCGGTAGAGCAGGCCCCGGATGGCTGCTGCTCTGTCAGTCCTGCGAGGATGATCGCGGCTGCCCTATAGGACCCGGTTCTTCAGACCTCACGGTGCAGGGTTTATTTCCTGATTCTAGAACATCTCCGTTAATCCTTCCTCAGTTCTTACTGTTTCCTTGAAGAAGCTGCTCAAATAAGTAGACCCTCCATGGGCAGTGGGTGGTTTGTGAAAACAGGTGTCCTGTGGAAGACTATCTCTACTAGGGGGTGGGGGACCCGGTGACCTGCCAAGTTTAAAAAAAATCCAGTATGTTTTCGTAATCAAATGGTAGTAAGAGAGCTGGACAGTCTTGTTTACCTGTGGGAACTCTCAGTGGACGAAAGGCTCAAACTAAAAGCTGAGAAACGGAGTTTCTGGCTGACGGCAGGCTCCCCAGCTCCTTTTCAGATGGTGCTCAGAGAGCACGTCCCTGATTTCAGGAGAGGCACAGTCTGATGGGAACTAGAAACACTCCCCTGACACAGGTCACTTCCGGAACAACCTTGCCCTGGGTTGGAGGTACAGCTGGTTTCTGTTCTCTGGGCGCTGTTCCTGGGTCCTGCTGGGCAGGGGAGCTCCTTGAAGGGCTGGCCTTGTCTCGCTCAGCTGCTCGCCTTTTTGCATTAGAGATACGTGGGTGGAGTTTTTCAACTGGGTGGTGAGCTGCCTCAGGGCAGAGCCAGGTCTGTGGTTCTCTACGGTGTTCCCGGTGTTTCCAGTGCCAGAGGAGCCCGGTGATGGAGCCCGCGTGTGCCCCGAGCCCTCGGCTGCCTGCCAGCTCCGGGACAGCCCCTCGCTGTTCTGGTCTGTGATCCTCTGGTTCTTACAAGCCAAGAAAGGAGCAGCCTCCTAGGTCTTCCTTTGAAGCAGACAACTTCGTTGTGATTTTTCTAATTATGAAAATATTATCCGTTCATGTGGAAACTTACAAAGTACAGGAAACCTTAAAATATCAGTTATAATCTCACCAGTTCAGGAAGACATCTGTTAACATTTTTCCGTGTATCTCTCTGGCCCTCTTATCTAGGCATATTCATATGGCATATGTATCTGTGTATGTGTCATATGTGTCATGTATGTACACAGATTTCTAATAAGTATAGTGTTGTTAAGTAGGTAATTTTGTACTTATACTGTTTCGAAACCCTTTTTTTTAAAAAAACTTAATTTATACCGTGAACTTTTTTCATCTTAGTAGTTATTTTTACTTATTTTTAATACTTTTTATTTTACTTTTAATATTTTTGGTAATTTTTATATGTTTTAAATATTTTACTCAATTTAATGGTATGTCCATTTCAGATGTTGTTCACTTAAAAAAATGACTTTGTGGTAACACAGAGAACCCACTACTGGGTGTTTATGGGTTAATGGCCCGCCCCTCCCCCACACCCACTTACCCACAAGGTCTGAGCATCAGGAGAAAGACCTTTCTCTGTGTGAGGACAGTTAGAAGCTACTTTGTGCTTAACGCTGCAGTACCGAATTGAGTTGGCTGAGTATAATCTCATCGTCTCTCCTTTCCCCAGTAAAAAGTGGGGGCAGCACAGCCCTGAGCGAGGAGTTTGCCCAGGTCTATTGCTTGGCAGACGGCATTCGAATATGGATGGTAAGATTTTCTTTGCATGTGGTTTGTATGTGCTGTGAATTTTCCCACTGATGAAGTTCTAGATTATAGGTGAGGTTCAGTGGGGTGAGGTCCGGAACCAATGACCAGGAAAGGATTTTTGAGATATCTTTGGTGCATAATGGTGGTTTATTAAATCACGGGGACAGGACCCGTGGGCAGGAAGAGCTGCTGCCCTGGGGTTGTGAGGGGTGGCAGTTCTGTACCATGGCGGTGGGGGGAGGTAAGGAAAGGGAGGTTTCAGTGTGACTTCCATATGCTAAAGAGGACCTTCAAGATACTGGAGACCTTGCCAATGCCAAGGTTGTTCTGCCCTCCAGCAAGGAACTAACATTAAGATGGGTGGGAGAGTCCAAGAATGTCACCTATGTCCCACCCAGGAGTGGGGGGGGTTGCAATGTGTCAGCCTTTTGCTTTGTCCTCAGCCAGCCTTCTGTTCCTTGTCACTACCATGGGGTCACGCAGTTAAGGGAAGCAGCTCTCCAGTCTGTTAGTTTTTACTAAAGTTCAGTGACATGAAAAGCGCTAAAATAATGTAGAATCCTTCAAGTCCTTGTGTGGTGAGTGCTGAGAGTGTCCATGAGCCCCGAACAGCCTCAGTAACCCCAGGGCCACTCCGTGGGGCCTCTTGGTCTGGGCGGCCACTGATGGCTGTAGATGGCGGCGAGGCCGCACTTCACAGGGAGGCTTCCCGCACTGGAGAACCGTGGTTCCCTGGCCTCAGGCGTGGCAGCAATGTCTGTGAGTGGGAAGACGGGCAGTGAGACTGAGAGCGGGGGACCAGCCGGTTCTTTGATGAACATGGCAGCTGCCCCTGGGCGTAGAGTGGGCAGGTTCTGTGGCTGGTGTGAGTGGTCCGTAGTGTGGTGGGCTCCAGGACCCTCCCCACGTTCCCGGCTTGGGGACTTGCTGGGCCATGGAAGCCTGAGCCAGACTGGGGAGAATGGCCTGGAGTTGGGAGTGGGCAGTGGGGCGGCGGTGAATTTGTTCTGGGACATGCTGAGCGTGGGGACACACAGGTCGCTTGAGACACTGAGTTGGAGGAGTCCGTGAACCTCAAACCATCTAGCACGCATGTCAGACCAGAGATGCAGGTAGCTTCAGATCACTGGTGCCGGGATTTGTCTAATGCATGAGATTACCCAGGAACCAGAGGGGCTCGGCCAGGCTCCACAGCAGTTAGAACGTAGTGATGCCTGTGACATGCTGGATAGGTAGATGGAGACAAAATGAACAGATCCTCTCCAGAGAAACTAAAAGGTGTTGTCTTCTGGATGGTGCGAGGAGGGTCGCGACAGTGTGCTGCGGGAAACCAAGGCAGTAGTAGCGGCGTAAGAAAATGAGTGATAAAGTCGCTACCAAATGCACTCGAAGGGGAAGGGTTGGACAGTTGACCTGTTTCTGGTTTAGTGTAGGACAGACTGCCAACGGCTGGACAACGTGCCAGCCTCTCTCCCAGACGTGGCCATCTGCCTCGGCTGTCAGCACCGTGGCCTGTGCTGGCCCTCCGGGCACCGTTCTCTGCCTGGCCCGTTTAGCATCACTTAGAAGCGTCCCTGCCCAGGGTAGCACCGAGATCGAGTTTTGGTCCAACTTGTGCAGGAACCTGGGTGTGTAGCCTTAGCAAGCCCTTCACTTCTGTAGCCTGCACCGCCTTGTCTGTGCTGGGCCGACTTCGGGCAAGGGCCCCCGCTCCAGTGCTGTACATTCTACTTGAAGAGTTTGTTTCTTTATTTGAGAGAGAGAGAGGGAGGGAGCACGCGCATGCACAAGCACGGGGGCAGGGGAGGAGCAGAGGAAGAGGAGAAATGGACTCGTGCTGAGCACGGAGCCTGATGCAGCTCTCGGGACCCTAAGAACACGACCTGAGTGGAAATCAAGAGTTGGATGCTTAACCAACTGAGCCAGCCGTGTGCCCCACGACTCTTAAAGTAGTGGGATCAGGGGTACGCCGCCTGCCCAAAGAGCGCACAGTTGAAGAGAAGGCAGTGCTGCGGATACACCGTTATCTTCCAAGCCTGGGTTGCTTCTGGGACCAACAGAAACAACTGTGCCCTCCAGAGTCGGACGACGATGGTGCGATTGTCTGTGGTGGCGTGCTGGGTGTGTGTGATATAGCTTGGTGCGGCTGCCCCTGCATCCCTGCCTGGACGCTGTAACCGTGTGGCTCGCACTGTCCCCGCAGCTGGAGATGAAGCAGAAGTCCCTGATGACGCTGGGCGATGAGGCAGAAGGAAGGCGTGGGTCAGAAGCTGCTGAGGTGAACCCCGAGGGCCTGGGTGAGTGTGCTCAGCCTTCTGTGGACACGTGCTGGGAAGCTGGAGACCCGTCTGCGAGATGATTGTGCTTATTTATTTGAGCGAGAGAAAGTGGGTGAGCGAAAGAGAGAAGGAGTAGGGGGAGAGGCAAAGGCAGAGGGCGAGGCAGACTCCTCACTGAGCAGGGAGCCCTACGCGGGGCTCAGTCCCAGGACCCTGGGACCATGACCCAAGCCGAAGGCAGACACTTCACCGACTGAGCCACCCAGGTGCCCTTTTTAATTTTTTTAAAAGATTATTTTATATATATATATGTATATATATATATATATATATATTTTTTTTTTTTTTTTTTTAAGAGGGAGTGAGAGAGAATGAGAGAGCACAAGAACAGGGTGAAGGGCAGGGGGAGATGTATGTCACTTTATTAATGGAGGTATTTCTTGTCCTAAATTGTAGAGTTTAATTCTCCAAAAGTAAATAAGTTGAATTTTGACTTTTTTCCCATTACCTTCTTTGCTTTCTGCATTCAGCAAAAGAGTGTATTCAGAAGAGTCTCCTGCTACTAAGATTTTTGCCCGTGGGAGTGAGTTCAAAGGAAAGCTGTGACGGGCTGGTGGCTGCAGATGACACAGATCACCTCCAGCCACGGGACAGGCGTCCGAGGACGAGCTCTGTGGTCGAGGAGCATTTCCAGGCTTCCGTGTCGCCCGTGGAAGTGGGCACCCCTGCCGCGGGCGATGGGGGTCCTGGCTTGGATGTGCCGCCGAAGCTGCCACCCAGCAGCGGGCCCACTGCCGACCTGTCCTCTGCCGCCCCCGAAGAGCCCTCGTCACCTTCCGCCCCCGCCCGGCGGCCTCCCTTCGCCCGAGGACGACTCCGGCTGCTCTCTTTCCGGTCTGTGGAGGAGGCCAGGCCAGCGCCCACCGTGAAGGAGAAGTACCCCGTGCTGAAGGACGTGCTGGACTTCATCAAGGACCAGTCCCTCTCCCACGACAGGTGAGCCGCCACCCCTCCCGGGGCCCAGACCAGGCCGGGCTTCTGCGTACGCCGCAGGGAGCGAGGAGGACCTGGGGGGCAGACCAAGATCTGTGTCAGCGCGTGTCAGACAAAACTGGGTGACTATGCTTGTCTTTTAAAGAAGCATTTTGTTACTGAAGATTTGTACATTATTGGATCTCAATAACGTACATGAAGATTTAAAAAAAAAGGAGCATTGGTTTCGGTAGCCATCATTTATAAATGTGTCTCATATTAATCCTGGGAGACACTTAGGATTTGAGATTTTCTGACAAAATTGTTGGCGGGCCTGCATCTCTGGAAGGATTGCATGTCTTCATGATTTCCTGCTTTGAGAATTAAAGCTTTGTCTCTGCGGGGCAGTAAAAATACTAGAGTTCCTTTCTAAGTAGTGAGTGTGTGAGTGTGGGGGGTCGGGCTTCGGGTCGGGCTGCAAGCTGGCTGAGCGGGGGCCAACAGGGCCCGGACCCCCTCCGGACCGGCGCTCCTGCCGTCACCCTCGTGCTGCTCACTCTCTCTCGCTGCCTCTGACTCGACCCCTGTCTTCAGCGTCGTGAAGGTTCTTGCCTTAAGGAAGGCCCAGGCACAGAGTGTCCTCGAGGTCCTGAGGATCATTCAGTACTGCTCGGAGTCCCTCGGACAGCCCCACTGCTTCCACCCACCATATGTGCTCTTCCTGCTGGAGCTGCTGACCTGCCAGAAGGAGTTTACCAAGTGAGTAACCCGCCCTGCACCCACATACAAGGAAGACAGGCATAGGTCGCTTTAAGGAAATCCAAGTCATCTTTCATTAGTAACTGTTACTTCCGGGTGGGATATAAATTCTTGTTTTTGGTCAGTCCTCTCGCCCTAAGGAGAAATGGGTTCTTTCTGTAGTAAGCAATACCAGAAACCTGTTTATTCCTCCTGGTGAGTTTATCAGCTTTTTTTTACCAGGGAGGACTGTGTTCCCTGTGTCCCCATGCCCGCTCGCTGGCTTCCGGAAGCTGTGAGCTAGATTGGATTTTCGTTCACAGTGAGGACATTAATCTGAGTACCTCACAAGGTGGTTTCGGCAGCCAGTTAGCCACTGTTGCCCGAGTGTTGGCACCAGGCCCCTATCTAGGAGATGGGTGTGCAGCCGTGGATGAGGCAGACAAGAGTCTTCTTCTAATGGCGCTTTTATCCTTTCTTTCATTTTAAGATTTTATTTTTTGAGAGAAAGAGAGTGTGCGTGTGCACATACAAGTTGGGGAGCAGCAGGCAGAGGCAGAGGGAGAAGCAGACTCCTTCGCCGAGCAGAGAGCCTGATGGGGGGCCCAATCCCAGGACCTGGGGATCCTAACCTGAGCTGAAAGCAGACACTTAACGCGCTGAGCCCCCACCAGGCGCCCCTGCTGGAGCTTGTATTATGTTGAGGAAAGACAGATCATAAAGGAGATGCGTCCATTCCTCCGTCTGCTTACTGTATCCATCGCAGGCACGACGGCTTCATGCACAGTGATGTAGTCTGGGGGTCAGGGAATGGCGCTGAGAAGTCAGCCTGTGAACCAGGAGATGAGTGACCAGTGAGCTCAGAGCGAGGCCCGCTGAAGGCTGAAGGAGCAGCGCAGAGGCCCTAGGGTGAGGGCTTGGCCCCAGGAACAGTGCGAAGACCGGTGTGCCTGAGTCGGGGGGACGGCAGGAGAGCAGCAGAGGAAGTGATTCGGGGCTCGGAGGATGCCAGGCTTTGTAGGGCAGGGTTTCAGGTGTTCGGATTTTGTACTGAGCTGTAGGTGGGAGAACCCTGGGGCGTCCCAGGCCCAGGAGGAGCACACTGTCTTTTACATTTATGCAAGTCACATCTGGCCACTCCGGGGGAAAGTATGGACGGACACAGAGCAGTCGGGAGACAGTGCAGCCGGCTGGGTGGGAGGCGGCAGGCTCCAGAGCCTGCAGTGGTCCTGGAGATGGAGAGAAGGGAGGGCAGTCGGGATCTGCTCTGGAGACAGAGCTGCCGGGACGCACCCGTGGATGGGGTGTGGAGAATGAGCAGAAGGGACCGCAGTGGGGGAGCTGCTGGGTCTTGGCTCCACAGTTGGTGGATCGTGGTGGATTTTACTGAGGGGAAGAGAACGGAAGAAACAGATTGGGGTGAGAAATCAGACGTTGCTTTGGCGTGTTAAGTTTGACCTGCTTTTCTCACATCCAAGTAAAGGTACCCAGTGCGTCAAGGTAAGGGTCTGAGGTTCTAGAAAGAAGCCAGGGCTGGGGCTATAGTAGGGATGCTGTCAGCACGTAGACCGTGTTTGCAGCCATGAGACTGGATGACCAAGAAACATGCAGAGACAGACAAGAACGGGCTCGGAACTGAGCCCGAGGGGCACCTCTTCGTTCAGAGCTCAGGCAGAGGAGGAGGGGTCAGCTAAAGAGGTCGAGCAGGAGAGGCCATCCAGAGGGAAACCCAGGGCATGATGGGGTCTTCGAAGCCAAGAGAAGAATGTGTCCGTTGTGTCCGATGCTGATGTGGGGCCACAGAAGCCCATGCTGGATTTGTCCGGAGGCCGAAAGCCTGGCTGGACTGGGTTGAGAGGAAAATTGGGTGGGAGGTCCAAGGTAGGGAGAGACCACAACCATTTCAAGAACCTTGGCCTTAAAGGGGAGCAGAGGAAAAGGCAGAATTGCTGGGGACACGGGCTCCACTGAGGGTTTTAGGATAAGGCACTGGTGCGTTTCATACGCTGGCAGGCCGGTGTCCTTCTCGATCACACTGGACGTAGGAGGAGAGGGTCCGTCACACAGCAGGGGCCGCCACAGAGGGTCAGTTTGGGCAGAGCCGGGGAGGTCGTGCGAGAGCCGCGTGGTGCTGATGGACGCGCGGGCCGGTCGGGTGGTGCCGGGATGGGGACGCTGTGGTCTTTCTGTCCTCGTCCTCAGCCGGGCACGAAGGGTTAGGGGAAGCTGTGGCAGTTTGAGGAGAGGCACAAGGGGTTGAAGTCATAGTGCGAGGTGAGAAGGCCGGTCTGACTGGCCGTTCGAGTGCAGCTTGGAGCTTCGTGGTCCCGAGCGGAGAGCGGCGCTTGTCAGCCTGATGCGCCGTGCCCCCTCTATGCTGTTCTGAGGGCGCGCGAGCTCTCTCAGGCCAGTCTGCGGAGGGAGAGGCAGCGGGGAGTTGGCGGTCGCCCGGGTGAGAGGACAGTGAGGGCCGCGGGGTCGCCGCACGTGAGGCAGCCTCGTGGGTTGGGGCTCCTGGGGGTGGAGGCCGCTGCTATGGGGTCGGGGGCAGAGCAGGCTGCTCTCAAGTCCGGGTCTCGGGAGTCCTGCCGTCCCTATGGCGATGAGCTCAGAGGAGTGCCCGTCTGGCTGGAGGGACTGTGGCAGGGACACCGGGGAGTCGTTCGCGCGGACCCTGAAGGCTCCCAGGGCACAAGGGTCGAGGTGGAAGGGGCCGCGGGCTTGGTGCTGGGGTCATCGGTTGGGGGGGGGCAGGGCCAAGGGGCCTGGCTGAGGTGAGCAGCGAAGGTCCGGGGGCGGCCCAGATGAGTGACGGAGGAGGAACGCTCGCCTGCCCGCGCCCTGGCTCCGGCGGGCGACTCCTCGACTCCTCGCTGCCACGCGGTCACCCCCCAGCCCTGGGCTCCTGGCGCGTTCGTCCGCGGCGCGCTTGGCGCAGGGAGGGCGTCTGGACTGTGTGGGTGCTGCCGGCCGGCAGAGACGTGACCCTGCTCCCCTCTGTGTGCAGCTACTTCGCGCACTTGGAGGGCTGCGGCGCGCGCCTGCATAAGGAGGTTCGCGACACTTACTACCAGTTCGTCCTGCTGCTGGTCAAGGCGGTGAAAGGGTTTCGCAGCATAAACGACAGGTATTGTACCGCGTTAGCGCCTCTCGAGAACACGTGTGCTCCGTGTTTGCTGACTTTGGAAGTGCACGTCCGGGGTGAGAGTGTGGACACCCATGGCGAGAGAGCGAGCAGTGATCCGGACGTCGCTCCCCAGCACCAGTTGCATGCGCGGACTTACTCGGACACGTCCTAGCCCTTTTCCTGTGTGCTCTGTCCTTTCTCAAGGGGGCGGTTCCTGCTTTGTGTAAGCACAGATGACCTGTCCTTTTCAGCTTCTTGCGCATTGCGCGCACCTTTAAGACGGGTGTGAAGCCGTTCCCCAGCGCCATCCCGTGCAGCCAATTGGGGCAGGAGCCTGAAATCAGGCGGTCTCCTTCTCTGTCTGCGCCAAAGGAGTGATCTGTGCTAATTTGGGGCCGGCTGCTTACCGGACATGATTTTTACGCTCTTTGACCATAAAGTGCCCTGTGGCAGGTGTGGCGGAACCTCGCATTGTGCTTCCGGGACTCTCACCCTCAGAGGAGGGCTTGTGTGGAGTGTGCACTCCCCTGGAGACACACCGGATTCCCACTTGCCTTCTGCGTCATCCCGGCTGGGGACGGCAACTTTGGTAACGTTCAGCTTCCTGGGGTCCTTAGGTCCTTGCTGCCTGCCTTGTCCTGTGTGCAGACGGCCCTGCTGCATTTTCTGGATATGGGCTGGGAACCTGGCGATCTCGCCTTCTTTGTGGACATTCAGTTGCCGCATCTCCTCATGAAGATGTCACAAGAAAATATAAGCGTCCACGACAGTGTGATCAGGTAAGAACCCAGTCCTGCACCCCGCAGTGCCCGGAGCAAAGGGGTTCAGGGCCCGGATGCTGGCATTAGCCTCCCCGTAGTGCATCCCGGCTCTGCCATAGCCCAGCCGGAGGACCTTGGGCCGCTCATTTGAGCCCACTGTGCCTCCGTTTCCTCCTTCTTAGGCCTGGAGGACAGTAATGGGTACCTGCCTCCTCAGATTGTTGTGAAGGGTAAATGAGTTGTGTTTCTCAGCCTTGGTAACAGTGCCTGGTTCATGGAAGTGTGTGGAGGTGGTGGTGGTGGTGGGACCGTGAGGACGAGGATCCTCAACATTTTTGGAGATCCTAGTCTACCTTGCTGAATCGGAGAATCCTTTTCTTTTATTTTTTGGTTCTGTGTATATGGGGTTTTAGCCATTGTAACCTCTTGCACGTTATAAGGACTTAAGATAGGAGAAAAACCAGCATGTGGGTTTTCTTTCCTTTCCGCTTGAAATGCGTGTCTCTCCACCCTGCTCAAGTCCACTGGTGTGCATAGAGAAGAAAGAACGAGACGGGGGAAGGAAGGCATGGGGAGAGAACCAGAAGTTAGTGACTCAGTGTTGGCACAGGCTTCACTTTCTCAAGACATTCTGGGCATCCTGGAAGCGGAGCTAGACCTGCTCCTGTCTCCTTATGTCCCAGATGCTGGCAACGCCCTCTGTACGCGGACACAGCCAGGGTGGGTGTACGAGCCTGCGCCTGGGCCCAGTAGTCCTGGAGGACCCCTCCTGCCACCCCTTGTTCCTCAGCGCCCAGCCCAGAGCTGGACGCAGGAGTCAACAAGTGTGTGTTTGTTGGTTGGTAAATAGTTTGCATTTGTGGTTGAGCAGATCCTTTCATATTTAAAATTCTGGTTGCTACAATGAACTATGAACTAGAATCATGGGGATTCATGACTTTGCATCTGAAAGGAGCCTCTGAGATGATCTGTATGAAGCTATTTGGAATGAGACTGAGGGCCAGGGCTGAGTGCGGGGCGGTGGGGGGGTGGGTCTGGGCTAAAGAGCAGCTGGTAGGAGAGCCAGTCCCTGGGGTCCCTGGCTCCCTGGTGTGCTGGGACCACCTGTCACTGAGGTTCACTAGGATGCGTGGATATGGGGGAATTACACCCCGTAGGTACAGCCTTTCAGCCTCTAGTTCCTCAGCCATTGTAGTCTGCTCTGGAAAGGGCGTCTCCCTCTTACTGGATCGTTTTGCCAGCAGCCCCACAGATCCTCTGCACCAAACGCACATCCTCCCCCGAGAGGTTTGGAAATGTTCCATCTGTGAGACCCGTAGGGCACAGAGTGTGTTACCCAGCTCTCCCTAGATTATTGGGAGAGGTGCTCTTTTCTCTCTTTGTGTCCTCCTTTCAGCCAGTGGAGTGAAGACGACGAGCTTGCTGATGCCAAGCAGAATTCAGAATGGATGGACGAGTGTCAGGACGGCATGTTTGAGGCCTGGTATGAAAAAATAGCCCAGGAAGAGCCGGAGAAGCAGAGGAAAGTAAGCCCTCTCAGTGGGGTGATCGGAAGTGACTGGGAGTGTGGAGAGGAGCGTCTGTGGAGGGGATGTCAGTGGGCTGTGTCCTGGGGAGCTCCGGTGGCAGCGCACAGCCTGGAAGGCAGCTGTCTCCGACTCTGCTCTGGAGACCGGGGTGGGGGGTGAGGGGCCTGAACCCTGTACTGGCCGGACTCCAAGCGCACGGCTCCCTCCTGTAGAGCGGGACTCTCTGAGCGTGGGCTTGTGGCGCTGAAGTGGGACAGGAGGTGCTGGCGTATTAATTTACGGTGAGAGAGAGAGTTGCCGAAGACCCGGGCTCCGGCGTCCTTGGGCAGCACGCTCTCTCCCTGTAGGCAAGTAACGTGGAGCCCCGTGTCCATCCCAGGCTTTCTGCAGAGCACGGGAGCTGCCACGTGCAGACACAGCCCGAGTCCTGTGGTTCAGACGCCCAGAGGCTCTGGGCAGATAGACTGCCATGTCCGTCCCCACACGAGGTGTTGCCCTGACACCACCATATGGTGCATCTCCTGCCTCAGAGTCATTCCTTTTGTTAGCATCGCATGCCTCCTGTGTGCCAGCGACTTGGCTCACGGAGCACCTCCATGGTGCTTGGGCGGGGCGTTTTCCTCTCTGGTGCGTTAACGTCTCCCCGGGGGCTGATGGGGCTTGTCCGTTTGGTCGGCTACGGTCCCGCCGCTTACTGTGTCGTTGCCCATCTTCCGGGCTGTGTAGAGGACCTGTACCTTGGCCTGCCGCTACCTTCCATGAAGCTTGCTTGCTCAGGGCAGCACCCTTGCTGTCCCCCCAAAAGGTTTCCCCTTTAAGCGCCAGCGAAAACAGCGCTCTTGAGGCAGCGTCTCTGTGTCTTTGAGCGCTGCCCTGTCCGGCCGAGTGTCTGAGCTAGAGATCTGGGTGTTGCTCTCGAGCACTGCTTTCTGTGACCCTGCCTCTGCTCCGTGTCCACTCCGTCCCCAAGGTGCCACTCCTCTGCCTCCTTCGTGCCTCTCAGGCATGCCCGCCTTTCTCTGCCCTCTCACTCACAGTGCCGTGTCACTCTGAGCCCGTCGTGGGGCTGCTGTGACATCCCCTCTCATGGCCGATCTCCCCGAATGTGGTCTTGCCTCCTTCAGTCCATTCTCCATCAGTAGCAGAGGAAGTTTCTAGAATGCTCAGAGTGATCATGTGATCCAGTTTTCCCCTGCTCTGTGCTGCCTTCTACACCCAGGACCTGAGTTACTGCCAGTCCTAGGGGCCACCGTCCTGGTCTCTCGTTGCCTCCTGTAGAACTTGCTACGGGTTTTGTCTGGTGTGCCCACTGCCCTTACCCTCCCCCAGTGGTGCCTGTCTGCCCTCAGGTCTCAACATGGAGTCACCTCCGGGACCTTCCTGACTGCTGCTGGTGCCTCGTAGGGTTTTCTCAGCCCCTGACTCGGTCCATCAGAGCAGCTGCCCCCTGCGTGGTCACTCGAGGGGATTCCCGCGTTGACACCGGGCGCCACCCTCTTCTCACCCTGGCCCAGGGCTGCGCGGAGTGGGTGGTGAAGTGTGAGGTGACTGATGGGTCGTGGCCACGTTGGAGTGTCTTGGCTAATGGCCTGCATTTCACCCCACAGATGCACATGTTCATTGCTCGCTACTGTGACCTGCTCAACGTGGACATCTCGTGTGATGGCTGTGATGAGATTGCGCCCTGGCACCGCTACCGATGTCTGCAGTGCAGCGACATGGACCTCTGCAAGACCTGCTTCCTAGGTGCGCACCGCGCCCAAGGAGCCCCCGGACTGGGCCCCGGGACCACGTCGTTTGTTTGCCTGCTGCTCGGGGAGGTACTGCCCGGGCTGCTTTCCGCCTGCTGCGGAGTCGTCCCAGGTACCCGCGCCCTGGTGTCTGACGTCCCTCCGCCCGCCACCCTGCTGGGCGTGGGGACTCTGTGCACAAATGGGTGCCAAAGGGCCCTTTAGCTGAGTTCCGGAGGGTGGTTCTCTCTGGGCCAGGAAGAGTGTACAAGGAGTCCAAGGCCCCGCACAAAAGCAGACCTCGGAACTTCTGACTGATCTTGGTGTGTCGGTGCCGAGGTGTGGCAGGTAGACAGTCGTGAGCGGCTGAGTGCTGTGTGTCCGTGGCCCGGTCGGGAGAGATCCAGCGCCCGTCTGGGCAGTGCCCCAGGACAAGGGTGTGCGTGCTGAATTACGGAGGAGGGATGTGGAGTGTTCTAGAAAAGTTGGGGAGAGGTAACCATCGCCGTAGAGGGAAGCTGGGCGAAGAGGTGGGAGGCATGATGCGGATTGGTCCCTGAAGAAAGTCAGAGCTGGGTGGTGCGAAGGCCATGCATCCCCTTCTGGCACAGAGCCCGTCTGCGGACGGAGGCGTGAGCATCGCTGGTGTGTCCGGGTCAAAGTGCTCAGACCGCCGGCGCCCACAGGTGGGCTCTGGGGCAGTTGGCTGAGGCCCTTGAGCGGACCTGTACACAGTGGGGTGGTGACATCCTCAGAGATCCGCTGCAGGAAGGAGGCTCTCACCTCCCAGGAGCTCCCTCAGGAGTCGGTCACAGCAGCAACCAGGTTCTCGGCACCTGGAGCAGGAGTAGGCAGCAGGCGCAGAGCCCCGTTGGGCTGGGACCACACGGGGCACGAGCATGGTTCCTCCCTCACGGGGTTGGAGGTAGTGGAGTCTGCTTTCCTCTGTGGTTCTGGAATGAAGACGTGAGAACAAAACCCTGGTCACTCCTTAGTGTTGGTTGAGAGGAACACACAGCAGATGCCTGATGTTTGTCAGAGAGCAGGTTGCGTGGGAAGCAGCTCATTAGTGGGCATGTGGACTTGTTTTTGCCAGACGGTGGTCGTGCTGGGAACTGGTGGTACGTCCTGTCACACTCGGTGTGGCGCTGGGAGATGGCGGCGATCCATGCTACCATGGCTGAGCAGTTGTGTGCTCAGAGTCCCTGGGCAGAGTGCCCTGGTCTCCAGACAGTGCCTGTGGCCCTTGACGTCCTGAGCAGTAACCTGGCAGAGCCCTGCTTCTGGGTCGGTGCGTGTTTGGAATTGAGCACCGCTGAGAGCCCTGTGCCCGAGCCACCTCAGCCTCATGTTCTTTTCTAGGTGGGGTGAAGCCCGAGGGCCACGGAGACGACCACGAGATGGTCAGCATGGAGTTCACCTGTGACCACTGTCAGGGTTTGATCATCGGCCGGAGGATGAACTGTAATGTGTGTGATGACTTTGATCTCTGCTACGGGTGCTACGCAGCAAAGAAATACTCCTATGGGTACGCTCTCGTGACTTCCGGCCGCAGGACACTTTCTGGGCGTGCGTGCGTGTGTGTGTGTGTGTGTGTGTGTGTGTGGTGAAAGCCTTTTGGCTCTAACAGATTTCAGACGTACCCACAGCTCAGGAGATGAGGACCTGGAACCCCCGTATAGTCGTTACCCAGACCCAACAGCTGGGAAGATTTTGCTCTGTGTGATTAGCGTGTTCTTTTTTCCTCTTTGTTAAAGTGCTTTAAAGCACATTGCAGACCTTCGGTCGTTTCTCTTGTACATACTGCGTGGCCACCTCTAAAAACGATGAGCATTTTCTCACATTACCAAAGTGGTATTGTCACACTGGGAGAATTCCACAGTGCGGAATCCCCCCCGGCCCCCACCGGTTTCCGTAGACGGTGTTTTGCCTGTCGGTGGGGGCGGGGGTGTGAAACCCTGCAACGCTACGTCCGGTGTTTGTGTTGGTTCATTCCTCTGGGGTGAGGGCTAACACCTGTGTTGAGATGTTCAGTTCTCCCAGCCTCGGAGGTCCCTGCGCCCTGTGGGACCACGCACACCCCCGAGGCCCCACTTTCTTCACGCCCTGACGGAGGCTAGTCGGCCATGAACACGTCTTGCCTTTGCAGCCACTTGCCCACGCACAGCGTCACGGCCCACCCGATGGTGACCATCCGCATCAGTGACCGGCAGAGGCTCATCCAGCCGTACGTCCACAACTATGCCTGGCTGCTGTTCGCCGCCCTGGCCCTCTACAGCGCACACCTGGCCAGCGCAGAGGACGAGGCCGGGGAGAGGCTGGGCCCCCGGGAGCGCAGCAGTGCCAGCGCCCTGCGCAGCCAATGCCTGCAGCTCGCTGGGGACTGTCTGATGCAGGCCCACCAGGGAAAAGGTACCGTCCTCCTGCTCGGGACTGGCGGGCCCCGCTGCTTGTGCTGGAGGGAGACACCGTGCCCGCTGCCAGGTGGCCTGGCCTGCTTCCCGCAGCAGGTGCTCCCCTGCCTCCGAGCCATGCCAGATGCCCGCCTACGTCTGAGAAGAGCTGTGGCGCGGAAATGCATTCAGTTTCTCTAAGACAGTCACATTATGGTCAAAAAGAAAAAGTAATAACTCAAGCTCTTAATGTCTGTGGATGCGGAATTTGGTATCTGAGCCTGGCGGTCTTAGCTTTGCCAGAGGAACGTTGTTTTCACCTGGCATGCAGGTGTGTTCCAGGTAACCACGTTCTCCATGAGAGTGGTGTGGAACTAGAGTTGTTTGACGAAATACCGCAACGGCTTTGACTTTCCCAGGGGAGCGTAGTGTGCACGCGGAACTTCGGAGGTGTTTGAGTCCCTCTCAGAGTACGGGCTCCCTGTTCCAGGACGGTGGGGACTTGAGGCCCATGTGGGCCCACGCGTGGGCGGTGCCAGAGCTCCCAGGCTCGCCAGTGGGGACATAGACATGGAGTTGTCGGGGGCCACTATGGAATTGTCCTGTTAGGGTTTCTGAGTGGACAGTCCTCTTGTGTCCTGGGCTCCTGCTGCTCCCGAAGCACGCTTGTTCCTTGCTCCTCAGACGTCCGGTGCCTGATGCCAGGAGCCAAGGAGATGTAGACAGCCAGGAAGGGTCCTACTGGGAGTGTGTTGGTTTGCTTTGTGGAGAGCCCAGCCATCTCTCCATGTAGGGATTTACGGCATTTTCACAAAATGACCTCATTCTAAAATTTGTGACCGCTCTCTCGTTGCCCACGTAGGTCTGAAAACTCTGTGTCTTCTCGGTATACTGCCGGATGGGGAATCTGGTCCAGACCGCTGGGCCCCACCTGTCGCCGTGCCCAGCCGCACACCAGAGGAGGACAGAGCCGTCCGTGCTGTGGAGGACCCGTTGCGCGCAGGCCCTTCTGTGCTCTGCCATGTACGTCTGCGTGCGTTACTGTGCAGGACGGGGAGCCATGTGTAGGGCGGAGAGGCTAGGGCCACGGACTCGTGGCCTGGACCGTGGGCTCCAGTCCCTGCTCTGTCAGGTCCTCGGCACGTGACTGCTGTCCTTTCACTCCGGTTTCCCATCTGTGAGATGGGCTGAACACTGGTACCTCTTCCGTGAAGTGTCGTGTTCTGCAGCGAGCGTCTGTGCGTAAAGTGCTTAAACAGTGTCTGTAGTACGTTCCCCGCCAGCGTCAACCGCTCCTGTTACCGCCTTCCGGTGGGATTACAGGAAGGAAGATCCTGTACCCCAGGAGATTAGTTCCTGGCCCACAGCGCACACAGTATATGCGAAGCTTTTATTTTCTCAGAGAGAGAGTGTGTGCGTGGGGTTCGGGGGAAGTGGGGGAGGGAGACAGAATCCCAGGTAGACTCCATGCCCAGCGCTGAATCTGATGCGGGGCTTGATCTCACAACCCTGAGATCACGACCTGAGCTGAGACCTAGAGCCAGATGCTTAACTGGCTGAGCCCCCCAGGTGCTCCGGAGCTCTTCTTATAGTGGGCAGCAGACAGGTAATCCCGAGTGCTTTCTGCCTACCCAACAGACACGGTGGTTTGAACGTTCCTGTGGAAGTGGAAGGAAAGCCTTCCTTCCTGCACGCGGGTGCCGCCTGCGATCGCAGTCTTAAAGTCGGCTTTGTGCTAGAGCACAGCGTGGCTTCTGGGAGGCCGCCTCCGAGCTTGAGGTGGTGCTGCGGGCGCCCCTGCCTTGGCCTGAGGAGTGGCCCATGTTTCTGTCCCCTGTCTCTGTCACGTTGGCTAGTTCATGGATCCCCCGTGTGGTGCTGGTGGCTTACTGGGATCCCGTTGTGCTTAGGGGAAGACAAAGGCAGAGATGGCTGGTGACAACTGGAGACTTGTGCCAGCCTCGCTCAGCCAGAGAGGCAGCACCGGCCTCAGCCCGGTCCTGCGTGCTGCCGTCCGGACCACAAAACCCCTTGTCCAGGCGGCACTCTATCTACCCACACATGGTGGTGGCAGGGAGGACATTGTCATCAGAGGCAGCCATCGCCCCTGAGCCTGGACACAGTGCCATCGCCCTCCGAGCTCCTAGCATATCTGCTGCCTGGGAGCACTCTGCTCCCCGTGAGTCCACTTAGATCAGCTCGGACCCCAGCGACCGGGGTGGCTTGTCTCGCTCCGTGGGTTGAAAGCTCAGTCTCTAGCGTACACGACTCTTGATCTTGGGCTTGTGGGTTCAAACTCCATGTTGGCATAGAGCTTACTTAAGAATAAAATCTTCTGGGGTGCCTGGGGGCTCAGTCGTTAAGCGTCTGCCTTCGGCTCAAGTCAGGACTCCAGGGTCCTGGGGTCGAGCCCTGCATTGGGCTCTCTGCTCAGCAGAGAACCTGCTTCTCCCTCTGCCACTCCCCCTGCTTCTGCTCTCTCTCTCATTCTCTCTCTCTGTCTCAAATGAATAAAAAAAAATAAATAAAATCTTTAAAATCTGCTACTTTTCGGGAAATATTTTGATGCTGAAACTGTCCCATGTTTGGCCAGTAGAAGCTTCTTTTGCCTGCCTTCTGCATCCTGATCTGCCTTTTTCTTTGAGCATTTCCTCAGTTTTTGTTGCAGAAAGAGGTTTCAGGCTCATCGTAGAGACTTTCCCTGGCCCAAGGGCTGTCATCCTGCCAACCTGGGCACCTCACTGCCCAACTCTCCAGCCCAGGAAAGCTTCCCCACTCCAGCAGGAGTCCCTTTAACAAAGCTCCTTGCCAAAATAAAGCTCCCACAGGTGTGGGCCAGCTCAGTGAGCAAGAAAGAGCTCCACACCTTTGCTGTTTTCTTCTTCCCGAGAGGACTTTCCATACGTGGTTTCTAAAGGCTAAGTGGAAGATAGTAGAGGATTGTCGTGGGGCTGTGGGTGACAGGACTGCAGGCTCTGCTGCAGGAGCGTTTTGAGATGCCTGGAGAATGGATACAGTGACTACTGTCTTAGTAGAGCATAGATTTGTCATGGGAAATGAGGGACATTATCTTGTGGAATTTAAAAGTAACTTAGTCTATAAAGACTGGCCAATGATTATGTAAATTGTATCACAGCAGTAATGAGCCAACTTTTGTAGAAGAAACCTAAATTCCTTTACCTTTGGTTTCCAGGGCAAGAGAGATGGTCCAGAGGAAGTCGGGCCTTTAGACAGCAAGCAGGAAAGTAAGGTGGACGAAGAAGGCGTGTCATTGGCAAAGGGTCCTCCGTGCCAGACTCAGGCTTCTGACTCACCTGCGGATGGAGGCACAGCTCCCCGGCGTCCAGGTGGAGTCTCGCATCATGACCTTGATCTCTTTTGTCTTAGATCGCACACAGACCCATCCCTGAGCGGTCTGTGGCACACAGCCTGAAATCTGCTCACAGCCGCGAGAAATCGCAGTTTCTCAGCTTTGTATCCGACGGTAGTGATCACGCTTCGAAAGTTGCCTTTCCTTCACTTTGCCTGCTTTCCCACCTCGTTATTCTCGAGTTTTCTAAGTGCCTTCTGTGTGCCAAGCACCGTGCTGGGCTGTGGGAGTGCGACAGGGACCAAGTCAGACAGACAGACGTGTAGCTCCTGCCCTCATGGAGCCTGCAGTCGGGGGTGGGGGGGTGTAGACCAAGCTAGGGTAACTGTAGTCTGGGCTGGAACGTGACTGTCCACAGGAGAGGGGTGGGTGGGTGCAAGTGGCGATTGTGTCTAACGGGAACGGACGGCATCCCCAGAAAGCCTTGAGAAGGTTGGGCTGTGAGGGACCTTAGCTGCGCCAGGATCCGTTGTGGAAAGGGCTTTCTGGGCAGAGGGAACAGCATGAGCGAAGATCCCAGAGTGGGAAACGCCCAGGCAAACACAGGGGAGAGTGTTCGCAGGCACACAGGGATGGCGCCCTGGGGGTGGCGCTGGGTCGCTGTGCTCTGGGGGCCCGGAGCTCCCTGTCTGGGGCTAGCAGTGTTGCGCTCAGAGCTGTGTTTCAGGGAGATGGAGGAGCCCAGAGAGGGATGTGCTAGAGCATGTCCTCATCAGGGCAGCCTGGGAGGCAGCGTCTGTCCCAGCCGCGCGCTCCATGACGGAGGCAGGGCCAAGCACCTGGCCTCCTGCCCCGTGTGCAGCCGGCTCTCAGAAGGGACCGATGGCCCTCTGTGCAGCGCATGTTCTTCTGCCTTCCGGACGGCAGTCTGGCCGCCCTGGGCAGGCCCGGTCTAGTCCACGCCAGCCTTGGCGTCCTGGTCCGGATGGACTCGGTTCCTCCCTCGGTTGCTCCCCGGGCCCCTGCCGTGCTCCAGCTGCGGCTGTGGGTGCTTTGGGTATGCCCGCACCCAGGAGGGGGGGGCACATCATGAAAACCAGCAGGTGGCTATGTGGGCGCTGAAGGTGGCCGGAGCGCTGAAGAGCAGGTCGGGGGGGAGGGGCGAGTTTGGAGCCCGGGGCAGGGCTCCGCATTCACCTCCGGGGGTCATGGTCACCCTCCTGGAGCGGGGCGGGTTCAGCAACGCGCTGGGACGTTCTCCGGCCGTGCTGGGACAGGCTGCAATTGACTTGCCTGTTTGCTCACGCAGAGAAGCTGGCAACATCTGGAGGTCTGTTTTCCCTCACAGATGCCGAAAATGTGGACGTGTTGTCTCAGAAGCCCCTCGAGGAGAAAGCGGTTCCTGCAAGCCCTGAGCAGGTGTTTGCTGAGTGCTCCCAAAAGAGGATTCTGGGGTTGCTAGCGGCCATGTTACCTCCCTTAAAGTTGGTACGAGACAAATGGCGTTTTCTTTTTTGGAAGAGGGTGGTGGTATTTGTGGAAAAAATGTGTTTTTTGGAAAGCCGTGTACCGAAACCACGTGTTCATATCACCTGTGTGTCCCCGGGAGAAGCATAACCAGTCAGAGGTTGGGTCAGAGAGTGATGCCTGGGGTGTCTGTTTCCACCTGATTGTGCGTGGCTGTCGATGAAGGACACGGTGCGGGCCCTTCAGCCCTGGCCAGGTGTAACCAGGATATGGACGGACGTGGCGTTGACTGGGTGGCGTCTCTCCCTCTCTCGGCAGGACCCCACGGTGCCCGCGATGCCCCTGGAGCACGTCCTCCCACTCATGTTCCAGGTTGTCATCTCAAACGCAGGCCACCTGAACGAGACCTACCACCTCACGCTGGGGCTCCTCGGCCAGCTGATCGCCCGCCTCTCACCAGCGGAGGTGGATGCTGCGGTGGTGACGGTCCTCTCCGCCGAGCACGCCCTGTTTGCCTCAGGGGACAGTTCTGTTGTGCCCGACGGCTGGAAGACCACCCACCTGCTCTTCAGCTTGGGGGCGGTGTGTCTGGACAGGTAGCGCCCGCGCTCTGTGCCCCCATGGTGTTTATTGCTTTAAGCCCCTGGTCTGGCTGCTGATTGAGTTCAGTGTGCCGTTGTCTAGGTCGCTCTTGGGAGAACAGCATTCGTTTTACTAGCAAAGGTGTCAGCTGACGCTGAAATTATCCGTAAAACCCACCTTCAAACATCTGCGTGGCCCTGCACTGTCTGCTGCTTGAACTCTCGATGATGTGCATTCTGATGTTTTTTTCCTGGCAGCAGTAAGCGTAGGCTTTGGGGTAGAAGAAATTAGGGCTATCTTTGGTATAAAGTAACATGACCAGAACACCAAATTTGAAAAACAGAAGTGGAGAAAAAAGTCACCCCGGCTGCACCATCTTTTTTTTTTTTTTTTTAAGATTTTATTTGAGAGAGTGAGAGTGTGTAAGGGGGGTAATGGGAGACAGCCCAGCAGACTCCACGCTTAGCGTGCAGCCTGACGTGGGGCTCGATCCCACGACCCCAGGGTCCTGACCGACGGAGCCGCCGGGGTGCCCCTGCCCGCACCTGGTGCTGTTTGAATGTGTTTCCCTCCAGGCTTTTTTCTGTGCTCAAACATGAGTGTGCACAAGTGTGCACGTGTGTGTGACCCTTTATAGAGATTTTGTTTTCAGCCCTAACTGTATGCGGAGTGCGGAGGTCCCCGAGGCGTCATTCTGATAGTTGTCAGATGAGTGGGTGCGTGGCTCTGGGGCGCAGCTGTGTGTGGCTCGCAATGCATCGAGTGGGGCCTGCTGGGGTGAGCGTGAGCCCCAGCCCTGCCACCTCACGGAGCTCTTGCCTTCCAGCCGCGTGGGCTTGGACTGGGCATGCTCCATGGCAGAGATCCTACGCTCGCTCAGCGGTACACCCCGGTGGCGGGACGTCATCGCCACCTTCACAGACCACTGCATCAAGCAGCTGCCTTTCCAGCTGAAGCACACCAACGTCTTCACCCTCCTGGTGCTGGTCGGCTTCCCGCAGGTACACAGCTCCGAGGCCGGGCCGCACCTCCCCGTCCCTATGGCCTCCCTGCCCTCCGTGTGCACCATGGGGGCTCAGCACGTGTCTCTGGGAGGGCACATCATTTGCATTTACAGTATTGGTGTATTTCCAAGATTGTGGGATGGTTTGCTCGACTGTGTTCTTAGCAGTTTAGCTGTTCGTTTTATCAGCCGGTAGTTTGAGTAACGGGTCCCTAAGTTACGGAGTCACACACGACTTGAGAGTACCCTTGTTCCCCAGTTGGCATTCATCTCGCTCTCATTTCTGATCCTCATGTCTCACGGTTGGGACGGAGAGGACCGTGAGAACATGGCTTCCTCCGGTAAGCCGGTGCGCCGGGCCTTGGACTCAGGAGTGCCCGTCCTTGCACACTGTTGAAGTCGGCGGCACAAGTGGAGGGGGCTGGGCTTGTGTCCGCTGGAGGGTCTGGTCAGGGGTCTGCATGCTCCTGAGTTGCCTTCCTGGTCTCTGTCACGTTCTAGGTCCTCTGCGTGGGGACCCGCTGTGTGTATGTGGATAACGCCAATGAGCCACATAACGTCATCATCCTGAAGCACTTCACGGAGAAGAACAGGGCTGTGATCGTCGATGTCAAAACCCGGAAGAGGAAAACAGGTCCTAAGCCTCATTATTGTTTCTAAGAACGGGAGGAAACTATCAGATCTCTGCGTGGCCCTGCATGTGTTGTTTTAAAAAACAAGTTGTAATGGCCTGAGCTGCTTTTCCGTCATCTCTAAAGTGATGTGGTGGGATTAGGGTAAATTGGAAGGTCCAGGCCATGCCTCAGTTTGTATATATGGCTCCCAGGTTCTGGGGGCACCTTTAGGGTCTGAACAGTTAATGTTGTCATGGGCTGGTGGTTTGTTTTCTGATGGGCCATCTAAGTATATGCTGGAGTCAGCTACGTGAGTGCAAAATAACTCGGAGTAATTGTGCTGCCATTCATGTCACTTTGATCGTGCTTGATCAGTAGAACAGCGAAAGTACATCTAAGTGCCAACCCCAGAAGAGCCTGGAGGAGGTCACCATACATGCCCCGTTCTGCTTCTGAAACCCTGTGCTTTCTCATTCAGCGTCAGCATTAGGCTCCGTCTGTGCCATGGCTGTGTGTGCTGTGAGGGACCATCAAGGGTCTCCTTTTCCCTCTCGGTCTTTTCTCTTTGCTGCACGTCAACATTCCACTGTTTCAGACAAGACTGGTTCTCCACGGAATTATCCAGGCACCTATGTTGGAGACTAGTTGACCCACGTGTGTGTGTGTGTGTGTGTGTGTGTGTATTTATGGGTTCTGTCATATTAATCTGTATATTTGTCCTTACTCGAATACCACATTCTCTGACCATTATAGATGCATGCTAAGTCTCCAAATCAGGTTCTCCAACTTTGTTACTTTTCCGTCAGCACTCTCTTGGCTAGTCTAGTTTCTCTGCTTTTCTGTATAAATTTTAGAATCAGCTTGTCAGTTCCTATAGTTCCCTCAGAGCCACTGAGTCTGTATGTCTGTTTGGGGAGAAATGACATCTTAACATGACCCATGAGCACTGTATATGTCTCCCTTTATTTAGGGATTAAATTGAGGTCTCTGATTCCTCTTCATCTGGTGTGGGTAGCAGCTGCTTTCTCCCGTTCCTGGATTTGGTACCTTGTGTCTTCTCTCATTTGTCTCCTAGACAGTCTCAGAAGAGACTCATCAGTGTATTTTTTTTTTTTTTGAAGATTTTAGTTATGTATTTAAGATAGAGTGAGAAAGAGAGAGAGCGAGTTGGGGGCAGAGAGAGAAGGAGAAGCAGGCTTCCCGCTGAGCAGGGAGCCTGATGTGGGCCTCCATCCCAGGACCCTGGGATCATGACCTGAGCTGAAGGCAGCTGCTTCACCAACTGAGCCCCCCAGGTGCCCCTTGGATGCTCTCACTTTAACCTGTAAGTGTCTTTACATTTAAAGTGGATTTCTTGTCGACGGCATATAGTGGAATTTTCTTTTCTTTTCTTTTTTTTTTTTTTTTGACAAACAGATCACATGTAGGCAGAGAGGCCGGCAGAGAGAGACAGGAGGAGGAGGCAGGCTCCCTGCTGAGCAGAGAGCCCGATGCGGGACTTGATCCCAGGACCCTGAGATCAAGACCTGAGCCAAAGGCAGAGGCTTTAACCACTGAGCCACCCAGGCGCCCCGGAATTTTCTTTTTTAATTCAGGCTGACGATCTCTGCTTTTTCATTGAGATGTTTAGACTATTTACCTTTAATGCAGTTATCAAGGTGATTTAGTTTAAATTTGCTATCTTCCCGATTGCTTTCTATTTGCCTCATTTGTTGTTCTTTTTTTTCTACTGCTTTTGGATTGAAGTTTTGTTCTGTTTTTATGACTCCATTTATTTCCGCAGTTGATTTTTAACTTTATCTCTTAATTTTTTAGTGGTTGCTTTAGGGTTTATAATATTCACCTTTAACTCGTCATTGTCTACCTTCAAACAGAATTCTATCACTTAACATACAGTGAGGGAACATAGATTTCATATTTCTGTCCCCCCATCCTTATGCTATTACCGTCACACATTTTACTTCTATGTGTTATAAACCTCAAAATAATACATTATTTATTTCTGCTTTAAAAAGTCAGATATTTTGGACCCCCTGGGGTGTTGCAGTGGGTTAAGCATCTGACTCAGTTTCGGCTCAGGTCATGGTCTCAGGGTCACGGGATCAAGCCCTGTGTCGGGCTCCATGCTCGGCAGGGAGTCTGCTTATATACTCTCTCTCCCTCCTCTGCGCCCCCACGCCCGGCTTTTCTGTGTGCACACACACTCTTTCTCGCTCTCCCTCAAAGAAATCCTTAAAAAAGAACTCTTGTTTAAAAAATAAAAAATAATACAAATAAGAAGATACTTTAAGAAAGGTTTTAAAGTGAGAAAGCGGCATCTCTTCCTTTGCTCTCATACTTACCGTTCCTGGTGGTTTTTGTTCCTGTGCGTAAGTGCAGGTGTTGTCCCGCTACCATCTTGCTTCGGCCTGAAGAACTCCAGAACATTTCTTGCCTCGCGGTCTCCTGCTAGTGGCTTTGGTCGTTGTGTCCTACCAAACCAAAAAAAATATTTATTTTGACTTTATCTTTGAAAGATGACTTTGCCACATACAAAATTCTAGGCCAAGAGTCTCTTCTTTGAGTCTTTTAAGGTTTTTGATCCATTTTCTTGTGGTTTACATGGTTACAGCTGCAGCATTTGCTGTCGTTCTCTGTTGTCTTCAAATGCGTCTTTTTCCCTCTGGCTGCTTTTAAGAACTGCTCCTTAGTCACCTAGTCACTTAGGGTTAGCATTTTGTTGAGGATTTGCCTCGACATGAGTTTCTTGTTTCTTCTCCTTGGGGGTTATTGAGCTCCTTGGTCTGTGGATTTACGGTTTCCATCAGATTCAGAAACGTTTGAGCGACTGTCTTCAGATAGTCGTTTTGTCCCCAATAGGACGCGTGCGCCAGCATCCAGTAGGATGCCAGGCGCAGGGAGCCAGAAGGTGCCCAGGCCTCTGTGAGCTCCGGGAGTTGTTCGTCTCCCTCTCTTGGGCGGTGCGCTCCCATGCGTGCGGCTCCCGCTCGCCAGAGACTCGCCACGAAGCTCGTGCGGCTGTCTGGCGAGGCCCCCACAGCCTCTGTGTCCCTGTGCCTCTCCCTTCTTCGTGACATTCTGGCCCCTAAATTCTAGCTGCCTTGACTTCCCCAGACTCACCTTTTTTCTCATCAGTTCACTGAGACTACCGGACTCTGCGTCTCATTCTGGTCCCTGTTCTGCCCCTGGAAGTGGTCTTGGGAAAGCCAGGCTTTTGGAGGGGTCCTCTGGCTCTTGTCCCTTCTGTCAGGGTCCTAGTCTGCACTGCCGGTCGCCTCCTGTCTGCAAACCACGGTCTCACGTGCGCTTCAGTGTCCGGTTGCTTAAGATGGGAGCCAGTCCCGTCTGTCTCCGCTTGCTTGGGAGCGGAAGCTCTGCCTGTGCGCCGGTGAAGAAGTGCCCGTAGCACTTGGAGACGGCCGGTTTGCGCACAGCAGCGGGGATGTGAATCGTGTCTCTGGTTGCCTGGTGGCTGGGTGGCCCAGTGCCACTTTGGCATTTACCTGCAAACCAGCCGTAGGGGTCACAGCCGAGGCTGAAGCGGGGCCGTCTGTGTTGGGGTCTGTGGCTTTTCCTTCAGTAAGGCGCGCCACGGGGGAAGAGACGTGGCCGTCGGGAGCGTTAACTGTCCATGCCTTTGTCTTCCTGCCTGCCCGCACACCGCAGTGAAGGACTACCAGCTGGTGCAGAAGGGGCAGGAGTGCAGCGGCTCTCAAGCCCAGCTGAGCCAGTACGCCCAGCACTTGGCCTTCATCGCCAGTCACCTTCTGCAGACCAGCGTGGACAGCCACTGTCCTGAGGCCGTGGAAGCGACCTGGGTCCTGTCCCTGGCCCTCAAAGGACTCTACAAAACGCTGAAGGTAACGGTGACCTTCTTCCCCTTGCTGATGAGCCACTGTGATGGGACGTCTGTGGGGCTCGTACTGCAGGCAGGTGCCGTCTAATCACGATGGACGGCTAACCAAAGGCTCTGGATTATTTTGGGGAGTGGTTGAGGTCTTGCACGAGGATAACTAATGAGGAAACATAATTTTCCCAGTAGTTGGCTCTTTATATGTTTTTAGTACTATTTCATGGAACCGCATGTTTGCCTGATGGCATGTGACCTTGGAAGGCGGGAGGAAACCGGATGGGACAGTTTCGCACTTCCCTCTGAGCAAGGGCAAGAGGGAGGGGAGGACAGAGGGGCCCGGCTTGCTAGGGGACTTGGAGCGACAGGCTTGATGGTTGGGGCGGGAGGAGCTGGGTGATGGTAGCTGGCACACAGACCAGAAGCCGTGACCTGTAGGGAAGATAGTTCTTCTGCTAGCTGAGGGGTCTGACGGGAGGAAAGCGATCACTTTTTAGGACGATGTTCCCCAAAGAAGTAGCCATGAAAGAAGGGTTTCCTTGTAAAAGTTGGTGACTCCCTGGACTTGGGCAGAACTGCCCAGAAAGCCACAGGAGGACTGAGGCAGCACAAGGGGCCCGCACGGATGGCAGCTCTGGGCCTGCCCTCTTTGCTCTTGCTGAGGGGACTGAGGCCACGCAGCTGCTGTTTGTTGCCTCCGAGGCACTTACACAATCTGTTCTTGTTTTAGTTGTTTAGTTATAGTAGCAAAGAGAAAGCAAACTCCCTGAGGGCACAGACCGTTTCTGTCTTGGAGTCCCTGTTTTCATGACTGTTGGTTGAGCACCAGGAGCCACCTGGTACTCTGTGGCACTGACCTCGAGAGGTGGGGCTTGCAGTCTGGCCTCCCAGAGAGCCACACGGGCCCGCGAGGAGGAGGACTGCCAAGTCAGAAACAGCCTGTCTGAGGAGGTGGAGTATGAGGTGGTAGATGAGGAGTCTGCACAGGGCGATGCACTCAGGGAGAGCCTCGGGAGCCAGGCCCAGGAGCAGGCGAGGCTGTCAGCGACAGCAAGAGCACCTCTGGGCCTTCAGGATCCTGCGGAAGAGGGGTGTGAGGCCGGAGAACCGGGCAGGCCGTCTGCGGTTCCCCGTCTGCCAGGAGTCGGGACATAGGATGTGGTCTGACAAGCGCTGGGGAGGGTCGTTCATGTAGGACAAAGGCCACGGTGTCCTGGGCTCCAGAAAGGCTTGCCAGGGCTGAGTTGGGGAGTGGACGGCATCAGGTTGGGGCTGAGTGTCATCCTTCAGGATGTCATCCTTCCTGCGACTCTGGAATTTTTCCCACGCGGTGACCTTGGGCCATAGGCTGAGCCTGGGCTCCAAAAGAGCCTTGCTTCTCCCTGCGGGGCCTGTGCCTTCTGCCTGGGAGGCGGCTGTGGGTCATTGCCCTTCTGTTTGGCAGGCTCACGGTTTCGAAGAGACTCACGCGACCTTCCTTCAGACGGATTTGCTGAAGCTGCTGGTGAAAAAGTGCAGCAAAGGGACCGGTTTCAGTAAAACGTGGCTCCTGCGGGACCTGGAGGTATGGGTGTGCTGCCCACGGCAGGCCTCCCACTTGGGAGCGACCCCGGAAGTAGCCACGACGGGCTCTGCCCTGAGCTCGCCTGTTCTGGGCAGGCATTGGAACCGTGTCTTGGGTTTGTGTCCCCTGCTGGAAACAGGGATATGACAGCTGTCCTCCCTGTCAGGGAGAGGATGCATTTGCTGCTTGTTCAGAGAACACTGGAGGACAAATAGTTTACTGAAACATGCGGCTGACCGTTACCTCACGGTGATAAAATGTGTCCTGGAATTATTATTTCCCTTTGACACTCCTTTGAGCTAAAATCTGTTTCTGAGTTTGTCCTTGGTTATGTTTATTTTATGTAGCATTTTAGTCCATCATTTTCATCTGACTGCATCGCTTCTGGGCCGCAGATTTTTCTCGGTGGGATTGCTGAGGTTTTGTGTCGAGTGCGTGTACCGCGTGCTGGCCTTGGGTCCGGGAGAGGCTGCTGCCACACGCAGGGAGGGCAGCCGGCCGCACTCTGTCACACAGAGGACGGTGTGCAAAGAGCCCGTCCTCTGGTGACCCGCGAGACCTTGGCCAGCTTTCGGGAAATGGTGCTGAAATACGGTATGGGAAAGCCCGGAGAGCATCTGGGCTCTCATTCTGAGGAAAACCTTTTACATTTTAAAGTAAAATTTAATTTTTTTTATCATTCAAATAATAGAACTACATTGCAGAAAATGTGAAATATAGAAAAGGAAGAAAACTTCAAATTCCGCCCCATGAACACAACCACCATTAGTATTTTCTGTACGGCCTTATTCTAGTTGTTTCCGTCGGCGTCGCTGGCCCACGTGTAAACACAGATGGCGCTGTGCGTGTGGCACTCAGATGCTGTGGGCCTGTGCGGCGGCTGCTTCCCTGAGTGGCTTGGTGGTTTCATGACCCCAGCGTAGTGGCTGCCAGGGACACACGAAGGTGGATGTCAGCTTCAAGCGTAACGGGCTCGACGTTACTCCTGAAAGGGGAGCTGCTGGCTGAGGCACAGTCAGCAGACGTTGTTCTAGCTCCTTTCCCTCACCAAAACGTGTTCTCCCGGTGATCCCAGCCTAGGTCGTCCGCGCCAAGGCGTGTGTGTTAGCATGTCTTCAATTACAGGCAAATGGAGCACATTCTCATGTTTTTTGTTACTAATTTTACTTTCTTTTTGAGAATGCTTGCATCTGTTAAAAAAGTTAGGTCGAATACCTTGTACCATTTGAGGGTTAAAGATCAGTGTGACGTTCTCATCCACGGAACCTGCAGCCCTGTCCTGCCTGGTTTTCTGTCTGTAGATTCTGTCCATCATGCTGTACTCCTCAAAGAAGGAGAGCCACACCTTGGCCGAGCACACAGCCCTGGAGCGAGACGAGCGAGGGGACCCCGAGGACGAGGCGGAGGGCATGGTCAGCAGCCCCACCGAGCCAGAGCAGAAGAAGCTGGACCCTCTGGAGAGCCTGGACGAGCCCACCCGAATATGTTTTTTGGTGAGTTCTGGGGCCATGCGGAAACCACGGGGTGGGTTCTCTTGGGCTCGTACCGAGTGTTTGCCTCCATGTGAAAGTGCCTCAGTCTGACGTGCTGAGAGGTCATTTCCTGAAGACTCAGTCTGAACTGTGCAGAATCAATCCGGAGTGGAGACATCCTCATGGCCGTTGTTTTTAAGCTCTTTGGCCCTACAGCATTGGATTGTCTCTCCCGTGACACGAGCACAAGCAGTTTTGCTTGTCCCTCGAGTCCTTCGCAGCCGGGCGTCCCCTGTGACTGCTGAGATGCATTCTCTGATGTCCCCTGGGGATACTCGCTTTGTGGAACATGGACTGCAGGGAGGAGAGGCAGAGAATGGGGCGGGGGTCAGAGGAGCAGGCGCGTGTCTGGCCCGCGGTGCCGGTGGCCGGAGTTGCATGCGTGGCAGTGGCTCAGGCAGTGGGTGGGGGTGTGGACGTTAGCATGGCGTGTGGCTGCCGGCCCTGCCGTGCCGTGTGTTTTCCTGTGAATTCATGATCGCAGAGCAGTTTCCGCAGTCTGTCTCTTAGGGTTGATGATTCAGAAATTACACCCTGTGGTAACTTGAGAAAATAACCCTTTTATCCCTTTTGAGCCCCGTCTCTCCTGTGCTTCCTCCTGTGGCCTCCAGATGGCGCATGACGCGCTCCGTGCCCCGCTGCACGTCCTCCGGGCCATCTACGAGTTGCAGATGAAAAGGACCGACTCCTTCTTCCTGGAGGTTCAGAAGAGGTGAGGGGCGCAGAGCTGTGGTGGACATGCAGCCAGCGGGGGGAGCGCGGGGGCAGAGCTTGGGGCGGGCAGGCCCGTGATGGCCTCCCGCCAGCGTGCGCTGGGCAGACTCGGGCCAGGCCGGCCCCTGGACCTGGTTCTCAGTTCTTTGTGCAGCGCCGTGAACACCGGCCCCGCCCCGCTACATGCGTCCTCTCTGAGTCGTGCTGCGTGTCCCTCTGGGAGTGGACATCAAGCAGACGCCAAGGCTTCTCCCATACGTCGTCCTGGGCCCTGCGGCCAGAATGCTGTTTTCACGTTATCTTCTTGGATTTCCCCAAGGGTTATCACCAAGTTAACAACACTCCCTCCTCTGGGCCGGGAAACTCGGCCTGGTGCTTGGGCCCAGCTCCCGAATGTTGTGGACCGTCACCGGCCACAGCTCATCTCCCCCTGTCATGTGCTTGTTTTGACTTCTAACTTACATGCAGGTCCAATTCAACTTTTCTTTGAAAAGCTGTTTTTCTGTACTTCTCGTACGTTGCCTCAAATCCTTTGTGAAATGAAGGAGGTCACAGTCTAAGCAGCTGTGACTAAGACAGCCAGAAACAGTGGGTCAAGGAAGATAGAATTGTTTCTCCTCTTGGGCCCGTCCAGGGCGGGTAGGCAGCTCTGCTCTGTGAAGGACCCTGTTCCCCCAAGGGTATTGTCTTCCTGCGCGTTGTCACCCATACCCCCAGCCCTGTGTTCCAGCCCGGGGAGCGGAGGAGAGTAGAGGGAGGAGGACACCCTCAACCCAGGTGCTTGAGGGAAGGTTCACTGACCTTCTGTGGCTGAGGACCTAGTTGCGTCACGCTGTCTAGCTGAGGAGGGGCTGGGTATCCCGCTGAGGCTTCCAGGAGCTCTGTTTCTGAGATCCCGAGGGACAGTTGGCGTCCCCTGCCCCCAGGGTGTACGTGCATGTCTGCGTGCCCGAGTCAGTGAGTGCTGCGCGTCTGGGTTGCAGACTACGGGGCGATAATGTCACTGCAGAGCAGTAACAGAACAGCGGCGCGGAGCGGCCTTTCTGCCAGGCTTCGCTGTGAGCCGAGCTCTTCGCTTTCTGTGATGTGTGTGCCCAGCCTTGTGCCCCTTCTCCCCAGGTTCGACGGGGACGAGCTCACCACGGACGAAAGGATTCGGACCCTGGCTCAGAGGTGGCAGCCCAGCGGGGGTCTGAGGCTGGAGGAGCAGAGTGCCAAAGCCGTGGACACAGACATGATTATCTTACCATGCTTGGTGGGTGGCCTTCACCTTGAACGCGAAACGCCCGCCCCGGACCCCACCCCCACACTGTGCTGAGGGGCAGGCCGTGGTAACGGTGGTCTTGGGTTTGCAGGCCCGGCCTGCGCGCTCTGAGCAGGCCACGGCTGAGTCGAACCCCGTGAGCCAGAAGCTCATCGCCAGCACGGAGAGCGAGTTGCGGCAGAGCTACGCCAAGCAGCGGCGCAGCAAGAGTGCCGCCCTCCTGCACAAGGAGCTGAACGGCAAGAGCAAGCGGGCCGCCCGAGACTACCTGTTCCGCGTCAACGAGGCCACGGCCGTGCTGTACGCCCGCCACGTGCTGGCCTCCTTGCTCGCCGAGTGGCCGGGCCACGTGCCAGTGAGTGAGGACACCCTGGAGCTCAGCGGCCCGGCCCACATGACCTACATCCTGGACATGTTCATGCAGCTGGAAGAAAAGCATCAGTGGGAAAAGGTGATTGTTAGCAGGCCAGGTTGGGCACCGCCCACGTCGTTCCTCCTCGGCCCCCACCCCCACGTTTGATCCTGCTTCCTCCGGCGGGGGCCTCCCTGGAGGGGGTCACCTGTGGCGGCGTGCGGCTCCCCAACACCTGTGAGGGCAGCAGAGACCAGGCGGGGGTGCGGCGGACCTGGTGTGCGGAGGGTGCTTGACACTGTGGTCCCCGAAGCCTGACTGTGCGCTTGGCCTGGCCTGTCTTTTCTCATCTAGTGCCAGGTCCAGGGGACACCGGGAATTGCGGCTGAATGGCCTGTCCCCATGGTACAGGGAGCGTCCAAGGGAGTTTGGGGCTTATTTCTGGAGTGTCTGCCCTGGGGTGTTGCACCTCTCACAGCGTGACTGGGGTGGGTTCTGTCTTGAGGAAGTGCAGTCAGAGGCCCCAACCTTCAGAAGGCAGCTGTGGGCTCTGCAGCCTAACCCCATGTTCCAGTCTGCTTTTCCAGGCCTCTGGTTCTATTTTTTTCTTCTTTTTAAGATCTTATTTACTTATTTGACAGACAGAGGTCACAAGTAGGCAGAGAGGCAGGCAGAGAGAGAGAGAGATGGGGGGGAGCAGGCTTAATGCTGAGCAGAGAGCCTGATGCGGGGCTCGATCCCAGGACCCCGGGATCCTCTGCTGAAGGCAGAGGCTTTAACCCACTGAGCCACCCAGGCGCCCCTGGTTCTATTCTTAAGTCAAATCTCCAACGTCGTCTTTGAGAATAGGGCTGGGGTGGCAATTCCCAGGGTGAATGCACCCAGAGGAGCCACACAGCAGAACACAGCCAGGCCTGGGCGGGGCGGGAAGGGCGGCACGGGAAGCCATGGGCGCCGCCTCTGGCTGAGCTACCATGTTTCGTCACCCCCTTCCAGCTTCCAAGGGCAAAGATCTTGAGTCACATTTACTGCTGCCTTTTTCATCCCTGTCCCCTTGGCACCCCCACACATGGTGTACCCTCCTGCACGCTCATGCACATGTGTGCACACATGGTGCACCCACACACATGCACACACACGGTGTCCCCTCACACACACACACGCGCATGCCCTGCAGGGGGACTCCTCAGGAAGCAAGTTCACTTCTCTCGTTTGCCCGTAAGAACACCCTTGGTCTCCGAGTCCCCTAGGTCTGCTCCCAGCCGCACAGCCTCAGAGGAGCTGGCCGCTTTGCTGCAGCCGTTCCCCATTTGGAAGTGCTTCCCCCATCCTTGCCCCGCGGAGCCCTCAGTTCCATGCCTCCTTGGCCCACGTCCCCTTGTCCGGTCCTTGTTTCTCTGTGCGTCCCTCTCCTGCTTGGCTTGGGACTCTAAGGGCCTGGGACCACCTCTGATGGGTTCTGGTGGCTTCTCAGCACGCCCAGAAGTAGGGTTTCCAGGGCAGATTGAGGCGGAGGCGTCCTGGTCCCCGTGGTAAGAGGTGGCTGGAGGAGTGGGCTCCAGGGGTGGGGCCGGGACCAGGGAGAAGCCAGCACCTTTGTGGGCCTTGGGTTGGAACGGACGTGTCCTTCCTCCTGCCCCTGGGCTCTGACGCTCCATGCCTCGCGTCCTGCCAGATTCTGCGGAAGGTGCTCCAGGGCTGCCGAGGGAGCATGCTGGGGACCATGGCCCTGGCTGCCTGCCAGTTCATGGAGGAGCCCGGCATGGAGGTGCAAGTCAGGGAGTCGAAACACCCCTATAACAATAACACCAACTTCGAGGTATGTCCAGGGCACCCAGCAGGCCGGACCTGCGAGGGCTGCTGAGAACCTCTGCGCTGGCGGTGGCTGCCTCCCCCGCGCAGCACTCGCTCTAAGCGGCCGTACGCCTCCCCAGAACCTGGGAGGCCCCGCACCCCAGTCTTCCAACCTGGGGGGAGGAGTTCACTTCTCCTGTGGCGAGGTCCTTGCAGAGAATCCCTGGCATCTTGGACAGTGGGTCCGCGTGGGGGCCTGGGCTTGGTCCCGGCTGCACTGCCTCCCGATGACGTGGCCACGCCGTAGAGGCCCCCACCCTTCGTCTCATTACCCAGGCGTGTGCTCCCCATCCCCCTTGTCTTAGAGGTGCTGGACGGGGCACCAGAGGAGCCCTCAGGAATGACAGAAGTGTCCCTCCCCAGGACAAAGTCCACATCCCTGGTGCCATCTACCTGTCGGTCAAATTCGACCCGCAGTGCAGCACAGAGGAGGGCTGTGACGAGCTGGCCATGGCCAGCAGTAGCGACTTCCAGCAGGACCGACACACCTTCAGCGGGTCGCAGCAGAAGTGGAAGGATTTTGAGCTCCCAGGTAGTGACCGTGTCCTCGCTCCCCTAGACTCTTCACGCGGAGCATTGAAACTCAGTCCTAGGAAGAAGGATGTTGTGGGAGGGCGTCACCCCGGGTTCAGCCTTCTTCCTCAGGAGCGTGGGACTTCCTGTGGCTGCTGCGTCCTGAGCTGTTTCTGACTCTTGTGTGGCCAGGAGACACTCTGTACTACCGCTTCACCTCGGACATGAGCAACACGGAGTGGGGCTACAAATTCACTGTGACGGCGGGACACCTGGGGCGGTTCCAGACAGGTGTGTGCGCTCCTCTCCCCGTCCTCAGGCTCTTCTGGGCGGGACCCTCTGGGATGTCACTGATGTTTGTTAAAGTCAAGGCGGGCACTTTTCTCTGCGACTTGCACACACGTCACTGAGTGTGCTGGGGCAGCCAGTGGTCAGCGTGAGTGGACAGATGGAAGAGCCACCTGTGGGGCCTGCAGAAGACACTTCTTAGATTTCACAGGCATGTTGCAAAAAGGAGAAATTGAAATGTCCCGTGTAGCTCTTATAAAAGGCATCATTTGGGCAACATTTGAATGGTCATAGTCGTTTTGGTCTGTTTATGAAAACTCAAGCAGCTTGTGTTTCTAAAATGTCTGTGTTTTGTGGGTGTGGGCCAGGGTTCGAGATTTTGAAGCAGATGCTATCGGAAGAAAGAGTCGTTCCGCACCTGCCCCTGGCCAAAATTTGGGAGTGGCTGGTGGGTGTGGCTTGTCGCCAGACTGGGCATCAGCGGTTGAAAGCCATCCACCTGCTCCTGAGGATTGTCCGATGCTGCACCCACAGGTGAGCTGCCCTCCGTGGGTCCTGTGCGGGGGTGGGGGGCGGCGTCCGCGCTGTGAGGACCTCCTCCCATGCTGGGGCTCGTCGCTTCTCTGTCGGTGCTGTCTGATGGAAAGAAGCTTCTGATTTTAATAGCTTCCGGTTCTTCACCAATCTTTTTTTTTTTTTTTTTAACAATAGTGCTTTTGTTGTCCTGTTTAGGAAGTGTTCGCTGTGCTCTGTCTTGGGGTTGCGACATTATTTCCTGTGTTCTCCAAGCTCGTTGTCTCCGTCACATCTAGCTTACGTTCCACACGGAATGCCTTCTGTGCATGATGTCCGGTGTCGGGTCGGGATTAGTCATTGGGCTTGAGTCTCTGCCCAACCCCAAAGACCACCTTTCCCTCACATCACTCCAGCGGGTCACCTTTGTCCCCAAGAAGGTGTCCACATACCCGTGCATCTGTGTCTGGTCTCCTGCGTAGCCCCAGTCTGTTTGGTTCCTCCTGCCGGGGCCACTTTAGTGCTGTATCACTGACAAAATTGTAATACATCTGAAGCGTAGTAGGGGGTGGTTTCACGGATGTCCACACTGTGAAAGGCCCCCTGTCGGGTTAGTCAATGCACCGAACACCTCATGTGGTTGCCTCTGTCATGTGGGATGGCCCCGGGGTCTCCCCTCTTGCTGAAACTGGCTTTTCAGCAAATTTCTGTTAAATGATGCAGTGCTGGACGCCACTGTCAGCTGTCATCACCATGTTGTGTGTTAGACCCTCAGACCTCATTCATCTCACAGCTGGAGTGTTTGCTGGCTGGCCTTTCCCCGCCTCCCTCACCCCCCGCCCCTAGCGACTACCATTCTACTCTCCGTGTTGACGAGTTTGATTGGTTGGTTTTGGTTTCCATGTGGAGGTAAGATCACCCAGGGTTTGTCTTTCTTGGGCTTATTCTACCAAGCCTAACGCCATCCAGGCCCATCCGTGTTGTTGCGAATGGCGGGGTCTCCTTCATCTTATGGCTGAAGAACGGTCTGTTGTGCGTGCAGGTGCACCATGTTGGCTGTATCCACTCTTCCCTCAGGAGACACTGTGTGTTTCCATACGTTGGCTGTTGAGAACGTTTGTGTGCAGGTATCTTTGAGGTAATGATTCGTGGGCTTTGGCTGTAAACCCAGGAGTGGGATTGCTGGATTGTTCAGTAGTTGTGGTTTTAATGACTCGAGGAGCTGCCATCTTGGTCTCCACAGTGGCCGCAGCCATGTGCGTCCCCACCAGCGATGCACCAGGGTTCTCCTTTCTCCGTGTCCTCCCTAACAGCTATCGTTGCCTGTCTTTTCGATGATAGCCGTCCTCAGACATGCGAAGCAATATCTCGTTCTGGCTTCAATTTGCATTTTTCTGATGATGAGTGATGTGAGCCCCTATCTTCTCATGTGTCTCTTGGCCATCTGCACATCTTCTTTGCGAAAATATCTGTTCAGGTCCTAGGACCATATTTTAATTGGATTCTTTGGGTTCATTTGAAATCGAGTTGTATGAGTTCCTTGTGTGTTTTGGATATTGACCACTTATCGGATGTGGTTTACGAGTACTTTCTCCCATTCGGTAGATCGCCTTTTCGTTTGTTGATGGTTTCCTTTGCTTTGCAGAAACTTTCTAGTTTGATGTAGTCCCACTTATTCTTGCTTTTGGTCAAATTAAAAAAAACTCGTTGCCAAGACCAATGCCAAGGAGCTTAGCCTTTATGTTTTCTTGTAGGAGTTTTGCAGCTGGAAGTCTCTCATTCAGGTTTGATTTGATTTGATCTCAATCAGAATTGATTCTGTGTGTGGTGTGAGAGAGGGATCCAGCCTCGTGCTCTTGCTTGAGGCTGTCCGACTTGTCCCACACACTTGGTAAGGAGACCGTCCTTTCCTTATTGCGTATTCTTGGCACCTTTGTCAGAATTAATGGGCCGTATACGCCTGTGTGTACTTCTGGGCTCCCTGTCCTGTTCATCAGTCTTTCTGCCTGTTTTTATTCCGGTGCCGTACGGTTTAGATTACCGTAGCTCTGTATTAGGGTTGGAAATCGGAGCGTGAGGCCTCCGGGTTTGCTCTGATGATTGGTTTGAGTACTCAGGGCCTCCTGTAGTTCCACATGGACTTTACGGCTGTTTTCCTGTTTCTGTGAAATGCTGTGGGGATTTGTATGGGGCTCCGTGGACTCTGTATCTAGCTGTGGGCGGCAGCCGTTGGCACCGGTGGTGATCCAGCCGTGACCACGGATCATGCTTTACACTTCCCTGTGTTTTCTCTAGTTTCTCTCAGCATTCCACAGTTTGCCGTGGACAGACCGTTTTTACCTCTGTTAATATTTATTTCTAAATGTTTTATTCTTTTTTATCCCATCATAAATGGGCTTGTTTCCTAATACTCCTTCTGATAGTTCGTCGCTAGTGTGTAGAAATGCAGCGGGTCTTTCCGCCTTGGCTTCTGCTCTGCGACTTCACTGCATCTTCTAGTGCTAATGTTGCTTCTGTGGGGCCTTTGGGGTCTCTGGCTAGGCTGCTGTCTGCACCCGGTCTGTTGTACGACTGTTCCAATGCAGATGCCCTCTCGTGTCTGTTTCCTGCCTCTTCGCTCCGGCCAGAACTTCCGGTACCTCAGAGTGTCCCTGAGCCACATGCTTCTGTCCACACACACAGGCACACGCCTCCTCTCGCCGGATGGGGTTTTGGCTCTTTGTGGCACTGAGCCCCTGACCCACAGCCATGAAGTCCTGGTGCCTGTCCCCCGCAGCCCCTGTGGCCCGCTCTGGGGCACGTCTCACAGGGCTCCGTGTAGGCTGCCTGCACAACGCTCCCTTCGGTTTATCCCTAGGTGGTTGATGGTTTTGATGCTGTTGTTTCAGAATTCTTATTTCTTACTGTTTCTGTTCACATATAACTAATTTCTATGTATTTCCTGTGTGCAGGGACCATTCTCTGTTTGTTAACTTTAAGTGTGCATGTGGATTATTCAGAGCACAGTCATGCTCTCGGCAAAGAAGGGGTTTTAATTCTTCCTCTCGGTCCTTAGGAGCTTCCCCCCACCCTTTTGCATCTGGGGATTATAGATGTGTGGCCTTGCTCCTCAGCTTGGAGGGCAGGTGTTGGCAACCAAGCCACACGCGTCCTCCGCACACTCACAGCCCTGCCTGTGGGGGTTCAGTGTCCCTCCCTCTCCAGCATTTCCTTTTTGAGAGAGTGAGGGAGAGGGAGCACGTGGTTGGGGGCAGGGGCAGGGGGCAGGTGTGAAGAGGGATCCTGAGCAGCCTCCACACCCAGTGCAGAGCCTGAAGGGGGCGCTCCACCTTGCAGCCCCCGGATCATGACCAGAGCCAAAATCAGGAGTCAGATGCTTGTGCGGCTGAGCCACTCGGCCCCTCCCCAGACACCCCAGACAACCCCAGGGTCCCAGTCAGAGAGGACAGATGATGCCGCAGCAGCAGGGCCTCTGCGTAGTCTGACAGAGAGGGGCTCTCCGAGCCAGGGGGGCAGTCGGCCGCTGCCAGCCGGGGGGTGGGGGGGTAAGCAGACTGTGGTTGCTGTTGTCACTGGGTCCCCGTGTGTGGAGGTCGCTTTGCCTGCAGGGGCTCAGTTCTGTTCCTGTGAGAGCTGCTTGCACCGAGAAGTGCCCGGTTGAGTGATAGCTTTGAAACTGTCTTCAGACGGCAGGACCCTTCCTGGCCACGTTGTGGGGGCGCTCGCATGGTCGCTGGCCTTCCTCAGTCCTGGGGCGAGACTGCACAGGCAGAGGGGAAGGCAGCCCCGGGGCAGGGTGGGGGTATGAGCCACGCAGGTGCATGGACGTCCCTCCCAGTGGTGACCCGGAAGGTCTGCAGAGCTGTCTCCAGAAATCAACCGTGCGTTCCCCTTGCTCTGCAGGAAGACTTACTGTTCTGGGAGAAAGTCAGACGTTAAAGAGAAAAGGCAAAATTTAAGATTATGAATGCGTAAAGTCATGTAGTGAGGCCCAGAATATTATTTGCTTCATTAACTTTTCTTCTCTGAAGGAGGTTGAAGTGGAATGAAAAGCACATCTTACCCCTGAGTCAGAAACGTCCATCTCTCACCCGAGGCCTCTGGAATTACAAGGGCTCTGGCAGAGCTCCCTCGTTAGCCCATTTCTTGTGTTTTATGAGCCTAAGATTGGAATATTGGTTATCACCGTCTTTTAAATCTTCTCTTGTGCTCTGTTGAAGCAACAAACGTTGCAGAAAATCTAGGAACTTTGGGGTGCCTGGGTGGCTCAGTCAGTGAAGTGTCTGCCTTCAGCTCAGCTCATGATCCCAGAGTCCTGGGATCGCGTCCCATGTCCAGCTCCCTGCTCGGCAGGGACCCTGCTTCTCCCTCCCCTCTGCTTGCTGCTCCCTCTGCTCGTGCACGCGCTCCCTCTCTCTCTTTCTACCTCTCAAATAAATAAAATCTTTAAAAAAAAGAAAATCTAGGGAACCGACAAGGACAGCCATGGAAAACATTATCTGTGTTTGTTCACTGTTGCTTTTGACATGGGCACACGATACTGTACATGCAGTTGGGTTTAGTTTTCTTTTGTACACGTGGTTTTACGTGTTGCTTTTTTTCACGTAACGTCCATCTTGAGGGTTTCCTGCCGCCGTGGGAGGTTCTTCATGGCGCCCAGTTTAAAGACGGGTGTGATTGATGTGACGGCTCCAGGGTCTCCCGCTTCCGGGGGTTCTGCCTCTTTCCCTCTCTGCCTCTGGGGAATATTTTGGGGGATGGTAGTGACTTTGCTGGATGTGGGGGAGTCCGTCAGCTGGCTTCTGTCTCCCGTCCGCCACCGCCCCCACAGTGACCTCTGTGACCTTGCGCTGCTGAAGCCACTGTGGCAGCTCTTCACGCACATGGAGTACAGCCGGCTGGAGGACGTGACGCAGCCCGGCATCCTGCTGCCCCTGCACCGCGCCCTCACCGAGCTGTTCTTCGTCACGGAGAACCGTGCCCAGGTGAGGTCCTGCTGGTGCTTCCTCGCTGCCCCTGGGCGGGGGTGTGACATGAAGTCCAGGTCCTTGCCTCTGTGTGCCCTCCCCTGGGGAGACCTAGAGTCAAGGAGGGAGGAAGTACTTTCTGTTAGTCCTTGACAGTAGGGAATCCTGGAAAATGAAATGGGTGGGTTCTTCTTCCTCTGCGAGCAGAGTGGGCGGCGGAATGTAGACGAAAGGCCTTTCGGAATTCCTTACCTTACCTTCATTTTCTCATGAGGAAATGGACCCAGAGCACCCCTGCAACCAGGCGTGGGGTTCCTCCCGGTCCAGCCCCATCCGCCACTCCGGAGGGAGGGCCTGCCGTGAGGTGCCTGGAGGAGTGAGACTTTGTGGCTGCAGGTGGGTGTCCCCTGGGTGCTAGTCCGGTGACACTGTGTCTCTTCCCTTTCCCCAGGAGCTCGGCCTGCTGCAGGATTACCTGCTGGCCTTAACCACGGACGACCACCTTCTCCGCTGCGCGGCACAGGTACCCTCTCCCCACCGGAACCAGCTGCCCCCCCCCCGACCCCCACGGTCCACATGGAGCTCTGTCCCCACCCTGTCGCTTCCCTCTGTGTCTGAGAGCTGTTGGGCCCATTCGTCGGAGCGGCTCACGTAAGACCATGGGCCTGGAGAGGCCAGCAAGATGCCGGCCAGAATTTGTGTCTGAAACCAAAACAGCCGGTGCCTTAACTGGAGCGCTGGGCTGAGGGCTCTGTAGTTCGATTTCAGGCACTTTCGGATGTGACTTTCTCCCGTGGCAGAAGAGCCCCTGAGGTTTGGGCCCAGTGTCCTTCACACTTCAAAATTACTGAGGATCCCCAAAAGCTTATGCTGGTGGGTTCTACACAAACACCAGCTCGTTTTAAGAAATAACAAACTCATTCCATGTTAATGTGAATAACACATTCTGTGAGAAACAGCTGTATTTTCCAAAATACAATCATTCTTGAGGCAGATGGCGGTGATTTGCGTCTGCCAGGGCCGGCGCCCCAGCCGCCTCTGGGGGACTCCGCGGTGCCCTTGGGAGCGTGAGGGGGAGAAGGCAGAATAACGTCCTAGCCTCACTGCGACGGTGTTTGTCACAGCGCAGACTCCCTGAGAAGGTCTGGGGAACCCCAGGCCCAGACCACATGTTGACAGCCTTAGACTCACGGCGCCCTCGCGTACCCTCAAGCTTGTGGCCCAGCCCTCTTGTGCTGGGCAGATGGGGCGCTGCGCTTGGACAAGCAGGAGGTTCACCCAGGGTCGCGTGGAGTGGGCATCGGTTCCTGGCAAGTCCGCTTTGTGAACACGTGGTCCCCTCGCCGGCAAGACGCAGGAATCCCGTTCAACTAAGACACATTCGCACACATTCTCCAGAGACCCGCAGGCAGAGTAGAAACCCCCTCCCCTCCTCACAGACCCCTGCCCGCCCTGCCACCACCGCCCCTGGTTTCCTGACACACAGCGACAACTTGAGACATGACCTGTGGCACCATGAGCTCCGTGTTGCGTACCCGTGGGCGCCTCCCTCTCGCCTGTCCCCATGTCCCGTCTCCTTGCCTGTGGCTCGTGCTGAGCCTCCCCACGGTGTGTCCTCTGTGCCGGACCAGTACTCTGCCTCCTCCTCCCCTAGCCACCCCCGTTCTTGCTGCGCGGAGCTCGCACCGTGGCCTTGGCCTGGCTCCAGTGTACCCCCTCCCGGCACCCTACCACGCTTGGCCTAGCACTGTTCGTTTGTCCCCTTCGGCTCCTCTGTGCTCTTCCCTTTCTCCGAAGAGCTTGCCCAGATGCCCTGCGGCCCGTGTCCTTCGGGCCCACTGAGCCCACCAGCATTGCACCTGCCCCTCTCTTGGGGTAGTAGTCATGTTTCTGCCCTGTGTTTGCAGCTCTCATGGAGTCTTGAGCGACTCTGTCTCTCACTCTGGGCTGGTGCCCTGGGTGAGGGCACCGCATCTGGCTGTCCCTGCTCCCCCGCCGACTCCCGGTGCTCAGCCGAGGGTCTTATCCAGTCCACACTTAACGAATGAGCACGTGACTGGTTCTCCCTCCACAGGCTCTGCAGAACATTGCTGCCATCAGCCTGGCCATCAACTACCCGAACAAGGCGACCGGCCTCTGGAACGTCGAGTGCTAGCCTTTGCTGTGGCCTGCACAGAACGGGGGCGTCTGTCCACAAGCGCTCACGCAGACATCTGAACTCATTCAGGAAAACGCCCGGCCCCCCTTAAGCTCCCACTCCCACTCCGAGCAGGATGCCAGGCAGCCTGCGATCGAGCAGCAGCCGCGTCACACGCTTGCGCCGGCACGACCGCGGCATGTGGGAACGAGTGCCACAGGGCTGCTCAGAGGGTCAGCCCAGGAAGATCTGAAGAAGCCTCTCCGGAAAGGGTTCTGTCGCTAGAGCTGCTGCACTTGGCCTTCCCGTGAAGCCGGAGTTGGCCCCGAGCTGCCTTCCTCAGCAGGACCTGGAGCGGCGGCCTGGCCTGGGAGCTCTTCTTGCGCTCTTGCTTCTGGAGACTGGGCAGCGCCAACCAAAGCCAGGGAGAGCTCGTCCTGGCCACCTGCTGGTGCCCACGTAGCTGTCTCGCGGAAGTCCTCAGTGAGCACGTGTCCATGGTCACAGCCGGTGGGCCACCCGTGGACATCGCTCTCGCTCCGACTCCCTGCACGTCTGCGTTTCATTATTTTCTCCTGTTTCAGTTTCCGCCTGACATTCTCAGAACAGAACCATGTGACTTCCTTGCGAGGCCTCCAGGGGGCCCGATGGAAGTCATCCAGGGGACACGCTGCTCATGGGAAAGCTTCTGTACTTAAAGACTCGAAGTGTTATCAGATGGATCTTATTTTAGAAGTAAAAAGAAAAAAAAAAACCCAAACCAAAAACCAAACAGAGAATATATGATGATTTTATTTCTTCTCCGAGGTCCCAGTAGTCCGTCGCTTTGACCCCTGGGACTCTGTGTGCTTTCCTGGCTGTCGGTCCACCGTCACGGCATCTGTTTGAGCGAATGCCATTTCTGCTGTCCCTTTTAGGATGCCGGTCTCTCCCTGAAGCTGAAGACTCTGCTTCCAAAGCCAGCCTTTGGAGTGTGAGGCTGGGAGGGCACGTGGGCCGTGGACGAGCTTCTGTGGGACTTGTTGGCGTGAAGAGCGCCTCAGGCCATTTCAGGATGGCGTGTGGGCCGGAGTGCATCCCCCAACACGGGACCCACGGAAGGCTCCTCGCAGCCAGGGCCATGCTGAGCGGGTCGGCACCAGCATGTGACCGCTGTCTGCGGGTGCCTGGGTGGGAAGGGCCCAAGGCTCCAGGTCTCAGGAGGGTCTTCCTGCAGAAGCACTTCTGCGTCAGTGGGATGAGGGGTGGCGGCTCCTGTAGCCAGCCCTAGAGCTTGGTTCTCAGATCCCCAAGCTGCACGAGGAGCCATCCTGGGAGGGGCCGTCCAAAGGAGACAGGGTCGGGGGGTAGGTCCTGAGACTTGGTGACCTCAGGCCCGAGGCCCTGGGCCCACTCTGGTCCCCCACGGTGTTGGGATGCAAGCAGGCGGGCACTGTGGCACGGTAGAAACCCATTCTCGTCTTCCACTCTGCCTGCCACCCCAGAGAAGTCCCCACGTCTGTACCACCCAGACCCAGCGGGTCTCGCAGGGCAGAGGGAGGTCACAGAGCCGGTGGTAGGGCCCCAGCTCTGCTGAGGAGGGACCTGGAAGAGAGGACCGTGCGTCACCACTTCACCTCGCTGCCATCCACAGCCTTCGTGACCTGGACTGCCTGACCAGGCCAGACAGCCAGGGCGGGGCACGCCCGTGGGGAGCAGGACCACCAGCTTGGCTATCTGTCCCTGGGAGGCCGAATTTGTAAACGCTGGCCTCTGCCCGCTGCTGTCTGCCCTCGCCCTGGCTGTTCTGGTCTCTCTGCCCACCCTGCACAGAGCGGGCCCGGATCCCGCTTGGCACGCAGCTGCTGCTCTCCCCTGCTCCCTGCCCCACGCCGGCCGCCCTGCATCGCACCCGCTTCGGCTCCCGGCTGCCCCAAGGAGCCGACGCCTCCAAGACCAGCCTCCCTTTGATCATTCCCGGAGGCAGACTTGCCAGGCAGGAGCTAAAAGCGGTGAGAATAAAGGTGTCGCGAAAACATGTGCCTGATCCATAAAGAGATTCCGACCCAAACCCTATATATTGTACGAACGGACATCGCTCGCACTGGGAGGGGTGACTTGTTTTCATCACCGTTTTTAATTTGTTTTCTTACGGGTTTACGATTTTGAATTTTTCTTATTTGTTTGAAAGAAAGAATTTTGATTATATCAAGCTGAGTGAGTTGAGCCTGTAAAAAGGATGTTAAGTTGTGGGTAAATGTGCAAATGAAGAGAAATATATTATACAAATTCTATATAAAAACAGTACAGCTGTGTGTGGGGTGTTTTCCTCCTTGCCTTCCCTTTGCCCCTGTCTCTCCCAAGCCCAACAGGCTGGAATCGCTGGGATCACGAGGCCTCGGAGTTGGCGGGAATCCTGGACAGGGACCGTGTCGCTCCTGCACCGCCGGCTGTTGGGAGTTCTGCCACCACATGGTGTCCCCCAGGTCGTCCTCAACGGCCGGACGTGGCCCCAGGCCCTGCACAGCTCGCAGTGAGACAGGGCTCCGGTCCAGGCTGCTGCTCTCCCGGCCCGCCTCTGTCTCAACGTGGGGCCGCCGCCGGCCGGTCCTGGGGTCTTGGCTTCCCCCCACCTCCCCAGTCTTGCTGGTGTCTCTGGTTTGCCACTCACTGTTCTCCCTCCTCTCCGGGAGCCGACTCCTGGGAATTAGGGAGACATTCCTGTGGTGGCTGGACATCACGGACCTTCAGGGCCCATTTGCCGCAGCCAGAAGCATCTGGCACGTCTTCCCAGAGCCCTGCACAGCCTTGGGGAATCGGGGCAGCGGCCGAGACCCAGCGTCAGCCCTCCGTATCCCCTGAGGCCAGAGCGAGGCTCGGCAGAATGGGGTGCCCCCGCCCCCACGGCCCCCATCTTGGCTCTCTCCTTCCTCACCATGTCACTTCGCTCTGAGAAGTCAGTCCAGGGCCCTCCTGAGCCCCACGCTGTGCTGCGGTTGGACGTGGAGAGCAGGAGCAGAGGTGCCGAAGGTCACGCTGAAGGTCATCCGCTGACAGCAACCCAGGAGTGAAGAGCCGAAGGCCTCAGAGGCGACTTGAAGTGGAGCCTTGAGAGCGAAGGGAGTGAAGAGCCGAAGGCCTCAGAGGCGACTTGAAGTGGAGCCTTGAGAGCGAAGGGAAACAAGCAGCCTCCTGCTGTGATTCAGTCATGCTGGCCGTGTCCCCTCTTTTCTGTTTGCCAGGAACTTAGGGCAGGAAAAAAATACTTCAGCACAACTTTTCTCACTTTTAAACTGTATCATAAAAAATATATCAGAAACCCCAGGGTATGTCGTGTTCTTTTTCACCTTTGCCATGCATACCTACTGTTACTGTCCCTGTTTCTGGCCACCAGAAGCCTAGAAAGGTCAGGGTCTAGAACTCCGATGTCGGGGAAGATTTGGGGCATCGCTGCTTTGGGCAAATTACCAGTACATGAGGAAAAGCTTAGAAATGTGTTCCTCTAAGTGCCACTAGAAGAAAGACCTCAATTTAGAAGCAGGCACACTAAGGAATCAGCAAGAAGACCCTGAGAGACTCTTAACTGTGAGAAACCCATTGAGGGTGGCTGGAGGAGAGAAGTTGGGGGCTGGGGCAACTGGGTGGTAGGCATGGAGGGGGCACGTGAGGTGATGAGCACTGGGTGGTACATGCAACTGATTAATCACGGACCTCTACCTCTGAAACAAATGATACACTCTATGTTAAGTGATTGAATTTAAATAAAATAAGTAAAAAAAGAACCTGCTAGAAAGATATATAAAAATAATGACCATTTTTATGGAATGTTGGCAAAATCCAAATGGAATATAAAGGGATATGCTCTTATTTTTCTGTCTCAAAGCCCGGAATGTAAAGAAAAGAGCATGCCAAAATTGGAATGTAGGTTTGCAAAGTGTTAAAAAAATTACTGATTTGGGGGGAAGACAACACATTTCAGCCAGGAATCCATGATTAGAATTCTCTAGTAAATCCCTCCCAGCTGAAAAAAATAATAATTTTTTTCAAGGTTTATTTGTGTGGATACACCAGTTTTTTTAAGATTTTATTTATTTATTTGACAGAGATCACAAGTAGGCAGAGAGGCAGGCAGAGAGAGAGAGGAGGAAGCAGACTCCCTGCTGAGCAGAGAGCCTGATGCGGGGCTCGATCCCAGGACCCTGGGATCACGACCTGAGCTGAAGGCAGAGGCTCAACCCACTGACCCACCCAGGCACCCCAAGTTGTTGTTGTTTTTTTAATCAAGTATTATTGATGGTTTAGTTTCAAGTGTACAGTGTAATAATTCAACGATTCTGTCTATTTCTCAGTACTCTTCAAGAGAAGTGCACTCTTAATTGCATTGTGGCTTGAAACCAGCCACAGACCGTCCATGACTAATGTTCCAGACACAGTGGATTGAGAGAATACGGAGGGAGATCCCATTTGGCCCATAGTTGCCCACACCCCAGATCTGCAACATGATGGATGATGGGGGAGAGGGCTCTTCCTTTCCAGTGGCAGAGTGGGAGGACACTGGGATCTACCTGCCTGACCCTGGATCCTGCACTGGAAAGGATACAAAGCTGATAGTGAGATTGACCAACAGTTAAGGCCTCAGGACCCCCACCTCCCCAACCAGTTTCTCTGTTGGCCTCGTGCTTCCACAACACATTTGTCTGTGGTTGAATTCCATGTAGGCATTCTTTGGCTGAGTAAGGCCCTGTTACCAGGCAGTATATCTTGCGGGGTATATCCCACACAGGTGGTCATCTTGTTCAGGCCAAGACCATGAGCACATTGCGGGTGCTCCTGAGTTAGCAGAAGATCTAGCATGTGGGGGCTTCAGGACGAGTCTGCTTCAGCCCTCAGCAATGGTAGGGAACACCTGGCTTCCTGGGCCCTCTGTGGCACTGGCACGGGCCTGGCCTAGGCCACTTCTGCAGTCGTGATGGAAAAGCCCCTGGCCTGGGTGGCCCACCCCATCCTTGGCTCTGCAGGCTGAGACCCGAGGTTCCTCCCACCTCATTGGCTGGGACCAGGTGACATGCCCATGGATGAGCCAATCCCTGGAGGCAGGGAGTGGAGCTGTGGAGATTGGCACAAGTTGTTAGGACCTCTGTTGTAATGACTTTTCTACTGGCCATGCAGGCAAGATCTTCTGGGACACATCTGTTAATAAAATGA